GAGGTCGTTCGTCTAGCGCAGAACTCACATGTCCTACCTCGAAATATTTGCTAGTCCCAAATCGGACTATCAAAATTGCAGATGCACGTGAACACGGCCCCCGATGGCCCTCACATCATTCCCCGCTCAACGCTCAATGCTGAACTCGCATCCGACAACCTGTTACAGCTCGGAGCCTTTGAGAGTCGTGCTCCCGCCTGTGTTTTCAACACCACAATGCTCCAACGAATCAAGACTACCTTAAGGCCTCGATCTCTTTCGCGAGCAACGAGCCCCGCGACTCGAGATCGCCTGGCTGGCCCCGCCTCCGCAGGCTCTCCTGCAGACTTAACTGCCGCAATTCGTTGCCGCCTAGCATGTGATCCATAACCTGCTGGAACCGGTCGCTCGGTTCCACTTCGACGGCCTTGCCGCGGAACCCGAGCCGCAAGTCGCGCAACTCGTTCCCGCCACTCTCGGCAAGCTCGGTCTCAACGTAGTACGCATCGAAGACGAAGCCAATAAATACGTTCATGATGAAAATGGTCCTGCAAGGAAAGGCCGCTCAAGACGTCAAGGTGCAGGACTCAGAAATGTAGGCGCTTGTCGGGCGGAGGTTACACCATGCATGGCGATGGTTTCATCGATGCTGCGATTTGAGCTGAGATGGAAGTGAGCCTGCGAGAGGAGCAAGGAAAGGATGTCAAAAGAAACGTGAGCCAGAATTGCCAGGCTGCTGCGGGTGGAGGTGCAACCGAGCGAGCTGCCTCTGCCTTAAATCAATGAAGAGACTTGCAACCAGGTGGGCGGTTAATGGTGCGGACGACGGTGCACGGAGTAATACGGAAGGAACTAGAAGGGGGCCGGAGCTCACCCGAGGATCAGGAAGCTGATGAAGTAGACGCGGATCCAGGCGGTGTCGTAGATGCGCCCCGCGATGGTGAGCCACACAGAGAACAGGCTGCTGTTGAGCCACTGCACACACGTGGGCAGGCTGCTGGTTGGGTTGGGCAACCGTCACGACAGTACACGGAGAGTGTTCGCAGCAAACCCCTACCGTTTCAATCTTACTCTACTTCTCGCAAGAAGAGAGGGTAGAATAAAACAGAAAACGGTACGAAGCGAGCGTACTCCAGCGAACTGCATCACAAGCTGCCACAGCCGTCTATGTGAGATGTCGTTCACGAAGACTTTCATTTGAGCGCAAAGGCCATTGCAAAAGGGTCTTGCGCTCTCTCTCACCTCAAAGATAAGCACCATCCCCGATGCGTAATCATTGAAATTGTTGGGGCCGTAGCCGGAGTCCTCATAACCGGTGCCTGCGGAGTATGGCAGATTGTCTCAAGGATGCGCGAACGAACACAGCGACTTTGGCCACCGACATGCCCCTTACACGCGAGCGCATTAAGGTCTGAACCGGGACAAGAAAAGCGACTTCAGGCCTTCTTTTTAGGCCTCGAACCTTAAGTACACGCAAAGCACCCTCGAGAAGAATACTTCATTATGGACGGTCTGGCAGAGAGTATTCTTATGACTTTCATGAGCAAGTGCCTCTCAGGCAGCATATTTGTTTCCAGAACCAGTCGACGACCCGTTCTTCATCGTACTTTCCCGGAGTCTAAAGCGGGCACACGTCCGAGCATTCTCCAAAATCTCAGCAAATCTTGAGCGGGGGACTGAATCTGCTGGCAGCCAGCAGCGACCAACTCGAGGATTCCGAACTGGAGAAAGGCGGTCCACTATGCCGTTTCCGACTAGGGAGGTATTGGCTCAACTTGCTCTAACAGTCAACCCGGCGTTGACTTGCGAGTCTTTTGATCCCAAACATGACCCATTCCACTTTCAGTGACAAAGCCTCGATCTCGGCATCCTCGAGCACGCGAAAGAGCTCGCCAACCGACCGCAAATTTTACTGTTCTGGTGTTCCCGGCTCGAATTCTCTAAGGCCTTTTCGATCCCAAAGTATTAAGTCTGAGAGGGGATTGCGGCCGACCTTTGATGCAGGGCGCGCCGTCGTAGACCTCCCCCCCGAAGAGCTGGATGCCCATGCTGCAGAAGATTGAGCTGAAGCAGTACGTGACGCCCACCAGCGGCGTCACCACGCGCCAGAGGCTGAAGAACGACGTCATGATGACGGAGTAGCGCTTCACGGACGTCAGCACGCGCGCGAGGCGCAGGACGCACAGGATCAGCAGGTAGCGGATCCACTCCGGCTGAACCAGGCCCGCCACGATCAGCACCTGGGAAGGGGGCGGGGTGTGTGTGGAAAGAGCAGGGAACAACCACACTATTGTCAGTTCCTGCTGGAGAAAGAGGGAACAACTACACCGGAACCGCGATGCGCAATTAGATTGATACAATTCGCGGGGGGAAGGCAGTTTGAAAAACTCTTCTGGTGCTAGAATGGGCAAAGGGCAAAGGGCAAAGGGCTGTCTGGCCTCCTGCGAGAAGGAGATGGACGAAGGGGTGGCTGAAGGGCCCTCCAAGGCACGCGGACCGAAAGTGCATAACAGCTCCGGGTCGTGACAGCAGTCGTGACAGCTTGGAAGCAACAGCACAGCAGCTGCGCCCATTTGGGCTGAGAAAATAGCAGCCAACGCAGAGGAGGACACTTCCAAGATGAGTAGACCTATGCTCTTTGCTGCGATCTGTGCATCGCGCCAGACGGGCTTGAAGAGATTCACGCAGCCTCTTCAACACCACCAATCGAATCTTGAATCGACGCTGTACGCAAGCAGAATTTTAAAACCATCAGTAGAGACAAGTAGTCATGCAACGCCTAGATTGCGCGGCTGGCTGGGCGCTACCTGCGTGACGACGATTCCGAGCGTGACGAGGCAGTCAAATTTGTTGGCGGCGGTGCGCCAGTAGTGGCGCGCGCCCTCGGCCATAATCTTTGCCAGCATCTCGGCGAGGTACAACAGCCCGAAGCCCATCTCGATGCGCAGCCATTGCGCCTGCAGCCTGCGGGGAAGACGGAACTGTTCCTTTGGGTGGATTCAGCAAAGCTCTTACTTTGGCATGTATTTCCAAGCTTTGCTATGGTGAGAAGAGGAGGCCTTTGTCCTCCCTTTCGGCGTCGCAGAGTGCGAAGAATGAATTCTTGCTCATGGACAGTTCCAAGAGTCTGATTTCGTTGGTATAGGAAAGGCCTTGCTTTCATTGATTTGCTTGATAACAAAGGACGTGACTTTAGCTGGGCGAAAAGCACGTACCCGTGAAGATCTCGGAAAGGCCCCCAAGTGATCCCCACAGACATGGTCTCGCCTGCTGTCACACAACGGACGCAACTTTTTACAGCGGGGCCACACTGCATGAGATCTGAAACGAGCGCACTGCTTCCAGAAGGGCGCAGTTGACGTCACCTCTGGTCGCCCGTGACGTCAGCCGCGGACTCGATCATGATGACGAGCGCCTGCAGGACGAGGACCGCGTGCACGATGTGCTGGAAGGCGCGGCTGCGGACGAAGTCCTTGAATGCGTCGTAGCGCGCGGAGGTGAAAACGTCTGCGAGAGAAAGAACAAGGTGAGACGCGCTGGAAGGCGATAACTGGTGTGAAACTTGGTTGCACACTTGCGCCAAATTTCACGTAAATCTTGATTCTGGGGAGTAATTCAAGAGCCCAGAAGGGGATCGAGACGGACTAGCGACAGCGGTTGGAGGGGTTACTCAGCTGTTGAGTGGATCACTTGCAAGCAGAAAACTCGCAGGAGCAAGTCGCGGAAGCAGAAGGTGGGCGAAAGGAACACCCATTAGCAGGTTTGCGTGCAGCAGGTGCTTTCGGGGCCGAACGAGCGGACGGATGGGTGTGTCATTGCGGCGCGGGGTAGCCAGTGGTCGACGCACGAGGATTCAGAACCGCTTTACACAGTTTTTAGAAAACAGATTTCTACGTTAGGCTGCTACGGTTCTCTTGGCTATCCTTAGCCAGAAACACAAAAGAAGCCAGGTCATACGAAGACGGGTTCCCGAAGCATGATTAAGCAAGAGGGTTAGCGAGGTGGAAGTATCATTAAGGAAGGCAACTCCCCAACCAAGTCAAGCACCCGCAACGGCGGTCCGGGAGCCGACAGTGGGTAAAGGAGGCGGTTAGGGGAAGCGAACCCACCCGGAAAGAAGACTTCTAGTAAAGTGGGCTCGTCCAGCGGTACGAACCGGAGCCGCACCGCGACGCACATGTCCAGAAACTCTTCCTCGGTGATGCGGTTGTCACCCGAGTCGTCCAGCGCCAGAAAGATGTGCTCGATGTCCGCCTCGTCGAAGTGCGGGAAGTTGCGGTACTGGTTCAGGGCTATCAACAGCTTGCTAATCTGGCGGGAAAAGGGTCGAGGGGATGGGCTGGCAGATACGCGGCAGAAAAGATTGGTCGCTTCGGCGGACGAGGACCCTGCTCTCGCGCTTCACGTTCAATGGGTATGGAAGACTTGAAGTAGCGTTTGAAGCAGAAGGCTTCATCCAAGGTTTTAACATTTTCTTCTCCTGGCTTCTGCTTTGCAAATTCGCGAAGTCTCGACGGCGTCCCTTGAGCGAACCCTGAGAGAGAAGGGGATCCAGATGGTTTGGAGTTAAGTCCGAACCCCTGACATACAAGCGGATTCAGCGAACCAGAGTTGCGTCACGGGGGTAACACTCAAGTCATGAAACCTTGGAAACGCCGACATTATTCTCGAATTGAAAAGCGGCTCATGCGTTGAGTTCAAAACTCAACCCTCTGGGGTGCTTTTCGACAGTCGGCGCTTGCTTTTCCCAACATCCTCGTCGATAAATCACTATGAAGGTCCTTCAATGCTTCATCAAGTCAAATAATAAAAGCGCGCACAAAGCATCAGAAGTCATAGAAAAATACCTTGAATGAACTCGTGATCCTATCAAGCGAATGATGACCGACAGTATTCCAGAAAAGAAGGAAACGACGATCGTAGGTACAACCAAAGAAACTAGACCTAAAAGCATCGGGGAATTGACTATTCCAGTCGGTGCAAGCCCGGTACGGACTTGATGGCTGTCGAGGTAGCCCCGCTTGCGCTCGTCGAGCGTTTGGAAGGCCGCCTGCAGAATCTTGTTCCGCGCCAGGTACGCCTTCTTGTACTCCTTGGCCAGGCTGTTCTTGTACCCGTCGTACACCTGCGCGCGCGGGAGTGACGTCAGCGGACCCCCGCCCGGTGACCCGGCAGCCAGACCTTTGCATGTCACGACATTCGGTCGGTTTGAACAGGCAAGCCGGTGGCACAATTGCGAGCCGTGTTTGGTTTGTTGATTGGCAGGAAGGGAACTTGGGGAAGGACGTAGACCTTGCTAGGACCCTGGATTTAGAGCCCGGATAGGAGGACAGGCGAGCTTAATCTCGACAAATCACGGCGCAGTCCTCGGTCGCACAGCGTGCAGACACGGGAGGTGATGAAAGTGCCCCACTCCTTACCACGGCGAATATCAGACTGAGGAAGAAGTTGCACGACACGAACTCGAACGCTGCAACGCAGAGAACGGTATGAGGCACTTTCGAGAAGAGCTCAAGGTTTCAATACTTCCATGAAGCCGCAGATGTGTGCTTTCCCGGGCTATAGGAACGACGCGTTTCCGCTGTGCGGCCTCACTTTTCCGGCCGTTTTGAAGTCGCTACAGGCAACCCGCTACAAGCCCTCACACAATTTCTAAGCATAGCAGGCTCGGCGTGGCTACGAAGCTAGCGCATTGGGAGAGTTCAGACCCTGTTGCCGTCTGGATTAGCCAAACGAGACTTGACTTTGCATGCGGTCTGACTGTCCGAGACGCGCTTAGCGAACTGACGGCAAAGGAAGTGCATGTACGAAAGCTTGGATTTCCTGGCACATCAAAGGAACACGGGCTTTCGAATTTACTCATGAAGATGAGCCCCGCGGCGCGATTGTCGTTGAAGGCGGGCATCCAGAAGTCGGGCAGGTTTTGCGCCGTGAACATGCCGATGATCAGCTCGTTCAACGTGGCGCGCCAGGACTTGAAGTACTTCTCGCCCTGCAGGGACCCATCAGCAGAGCCCTTGACAGTCAACGCCTCCAAATCGAAAGATAAGGTCAAAGTTCGTTCCATGTCGCGGATTGTCAGATCGTCCGTGTTAGATTGCGCGTCGACCGAAAACCTACTTGGCTTCCAGTCTTGCCTTTGTCGTACCGACAGGTAGGGGATACGGTGCTTTTCAAGCCGTATTACTTCTAGGGTATGTACCTTAGACTACCACGTGGATCTGAAAAGCCATCCGATTGGCTAAGAAATCTGGAAAGCCTTTTGCAACTTTTCGGTCGACGCCACCCTTACGTCGATTCGTAACCTGCTTTCATGCATTCACCCGACCGCTTTTCGATATCAGGGAATTCCTAGGAGAAGAGCACGGTGTGGACGGAAGCTTGCTCTTTTCATACACCGTTTATAAGGCCGAACTCCCCATACCATGCAAACTCTGTACCGGTTATAGGCTCCGGGGACTTTACTTGCGTGGTGTGCTCGAATAGGATGTAGAGCAGCCACGCCGAGAAGGCCAGCCAAAAGCCTATCAGCGTCATCATGTCCAGGAACGCCTGTGCCGGATGTCAGGACACGTGTCAGCCCGTGATCGAAATTCCTTCCTGAATCTACATCCGGATCCTACCAGGGTTGAATCCATGAGGCATAAAAAGCTGCGAATGAGTCTTGAGGGGGAGGGGATCCGACATTAGACCATGTCTTCGCCCGCGCTGTTGAGATAAACATTCGAGTAGGAGAGGGCGTTTCGAAAGGAAGAACCTGGCAAGTGAAGTGGAGAGATAGGCAAAACAATTTGCGAACACCTATCAGCTAGGCTGAATCATCATATTACTCCCTGCTTCTCTATAGTCAACGTACTTCTGGAAGTATATCAAAAGCAATGGCGTTATTGGGGAGACCGCCTACCGGGATGATTCCTATCAGAATGCGAAAGGCCTTTCGAGTCTCGCCGCCATTGGCCCCCACCACGAGAACCCTGACACGACGTCATAACGACAGAACTGTCAGCGATTCTGAAACAAATCAGCAGCATTGCGAGAGAACCTCGGAGATGCCTTCCAACAACGTTTGCAGCACAAGTTCCAGAATATTTTCCCAGCGCCCTGCTTCTGATATTACTACCTGAGTCCGCGGGGATTGTCTTTTAACAGATTTGGCGAACATTGCAAGAGCGCAAGAATCCTGAAAGAGACCGTGTACCATACCTGAGGTACGGTGCCAGCCGGACAGCCACCAGCTTGTCGAGTATCCGGACGTCCGTGTAGAGCCATGCCGTGTTGACCAGGACGTCCGCAGCGAGCAGGGAGAAGAGCAGGATGAACAACTGGTTCAGGCGGTCCCGCCAAAAGTGACGGTGGCCCTCAAAAGATATGGGCAAGAAAACCTGCAAAATGGAAAAATGATAAGACGGCAGTTCAGGCGGCAAAAGAAGTCAACAGCCGCAGGGTGTCGCAGATCCTTTGTCAAAGGACCCCGTTTGAAGTCGATCGTCATTACTCAGTGGTTGTCAAAAGAAGGAAACGGACTGTTTGCAATAAATCTGACTGACATGACAAAGGCGATGTAGCCAATGCACGAAGCCAGTGGTGTCGGAAAGCAGTCAAAGTCAATACATACAGCCTTGGCCGTTGGAATACCTCCAGCAACACTCTATCTTGGCTCCACAATCAGGACAAGGACAGCCTTCGAATGAAAAAGTTGAAACCATCACTTGGAACAAAGACTCGTCCTGGCTGATGCTCAACTGTCAGGAGCACCTAGTCAAGAAACCCCGCTTCCGAGGATCAAATCGAGTTTGAACTACTGGATCCTCATGATCCCAACATCAGTAAATGGACGTATGAGTAGGGGCCAAGTCTCACTTGGAATGCCAGGACGCACAGCGAGACCAGCTCGAGCGCATTGAACGACTTTGGCGGCAGGTATGGGAACCCCCCGAGCCAGTACTTTTTCGGGTCTCCGCAAGGGTGCGGAAACGGCTCCGCACACCAGCTTGGCACCTCCACGAAATTGAGCCCTAGCAAGAGACAGAAGTTGGCGGTCCAGATGGGCGCGAGCGCGCCGCACCAGAAGTAGCGCTTTGCAGATCGGGAAAAGTGTGTGCTGTCGAGGAGCTCGATTGGAAGCCCGATGCCGTCCTCCGCTAGATCAACAAGGGCCGCAGCGCGCTCGACGCGGTCGGCAGAAGACAGCCCGCTCTTGCGCCGGCCTTTGGAAGCCTGGAAAAAGGCGATTGGCTTTCAGAAGTTGTTTGGTCTTGAAGAGGAAGCATCGCAGGACCTGAACCGTTCTATTGCTCTTTTGCGAGCAGATCTCAAAAGTCGTGAAAGTGAACGTGGATTTTCATCTCACAGTGTCCTGCTCTCCCCAAGCAATGGAGCCTTCAACTTCATATTTGCAGTGGGCATTGTGAGAAGGGCGAAAGGAATCAGTAGCTGTGAGGGTGGGTGGAAATCTAAGCATTTGAAGTATCTCTGCTTGGAACTACCGGGGCTACTTCACGATCTTGAAGAACGGTCTTCTTCTTCTTCACAAGCTGTTCAAACCTGATGTAGCAAGTTGAAAATAGTTGACACCCTTTCCAGACTAATTGCAGAAGGAACCGCTGTGGAGTCGGTTGTTAAGCAATCAGGAAGAAGCGGGGGGTCAGCTTCATGAGTATCCCAATAAACTGCTCAAAGGATTGCTAGGATGGAGGGGACCTTTCCAGTCAGTCCAGTGATGTTGCAGAATATTCGGGCCAACTTGGAAGTGCACAACTAGGTCCGCAGCTCAACACACAACAGTCCAAGTCGTGGATATGAAGCGTCCGGTCGCGTGTTTGAGCTGGAGGCTTCCTGATGCATGCAATTGGCTGCACAACCCATCAACGATCACGAGTAAGAAAGGCCTTCTTCTCAGTTCATTAAATGACAAGCGTTGGCGCACCGTGATATAACTTTCTACCAGCTGGCGGCACGAACCTGTGCACCACCTCCACACAAGAACAACAGGACGAAGGATTCTCACCTGGGCGCGGCCAGCTGCATTGCGCATGCGAAACCCTCTCTTCTGTCCGTGACGAGCTGGTGCAGTGGGCCCTGCAGCAGAGATGCCTTCCGAGCTGGATGCAGGACGGGCATCTCCTAGGAGAGGCTCCTCAGACAATGCCATGACAGCAGTATCAGGCAATGCTGCGCATGAGAACCCTTCACAGAATGCATGATGCACAATGCGGCCCCGGGGCCACATTGGCATCGATCAGGATTCTAATTGGGTCTGCGTTCATTCGGTCGCCGCGAAATGCTCCAAAAGCTCGCCTTGCAGACCAGTGGAGCTTGAAAATCCATCTTGCACAACTATTTTGCAGTCCATCACTAGGGTCCAGGTGAAATCACCGGTGGCAACCTGATTATTCCCCCCCCGGGACCCTGGCGACAACCTGGACCAGGGCTCATCAATACATGTAAATTTTCAAGCACGGACTCGGACTCGGAGATATCGTGCTGGGTTGAGGAACGTGCTCTGGCTGCAGTGGCGCCTCATGACAGTAAAGCAGTTCTGCATGACGGAGAATGGTTCAAGCACACATTTCTGGGTGAACAGCAGTGCATGAGAAGATCTTCAGGGATGCCTGCGGCGCCTGCAAGCCACAAGAAGCAGCGGTCAGTTGAAAGAACCCAGCCGCAATGAAAGATAGATTGTCAAGAAAGTTTTTGCAAGGTCAGCCTGGGGACAGTGCACCGCGCTCCAAATTCCACATGTAGGCTACCAGGATCGACCGGCATGGCTGGTATCATAAGTTCCGCATTGAATGTAGATGTACGAGCTGCCCCGTGCAGCCCAATTCATATACAGCGGTGCTCGCCAGCAGCTGCCACCCTTTTTCCTTCTTTCTGCTCTGCTAACACTTGTGCAGCATATGGGCCTCTCCAAAGAAAAACTGGACCAGTGATTGAGCGGTGGCATGAAAGAAACAAACGTGTCGGATGGAGGCGACGGTCATTCGAAAGGAAAAGTAGAGGTGGCGCCACCCTCACGACGGCTGCACTGGATGATACACGGCTGGTGAGTATATTTGCCCTTTGTCTGTATGAGCAGAGCACCATAGCAGAAACTGGCATTGCTTTTGAGCAAGCGTATCAATTAAAATCACCGCAAGTCAGTGGAGTGCAGACGAGTACAACTTTTCCTAGATTCTTTTGTGCTCCTGAGTTCGCATTTCAGATTGTTGTGAGCTTGGCAAGGCTTTGCTGCTGCTTTTAGGACCACTTGATCAAGCGGCAATCACAGCGGCGGTTGGAACTCAATGTGACCCTTTGCAGATTGACTTCCTGCGGACCATTCCTGACCGATCGAATGAGTACTTCAAACCGTTGTGGCGAAGGGGCATGTGAGTTTCTTGATATGTTCCAGATTGCGTGCCACATTCAAAGAACATCTACCACACAATCAATCATTTAGGCTCTTGTTTCAATTCTGCAGGGCGGTAGAAGTGCTCTTTGTCATGCTTCATAAGCTTCAGATTGGCCTGAGCTCATTAGACTGGGCTAGTGATTGAAAGCCACAACTCTCTTGAGCAGGTTGCAAACACCAAGATGTATCAAAAGGAGTAAGATGGGAAGACACTGACAATCTCTGCCAAGTATATGGAGTCTTATGTTTCCTGCAGCTGGGGCGGCGTTTCGTTGTTTGGGGGTTTCTACATTGCAAACACCATCTCACTGTCCCTGGGGGCCAACAGTGTGAGTACATCCCATCTTAAGTGTCGCGACCCTTACGTGCTTTTGCGTCCACTTGATTAATGAGGTTCATAAGCACTAGTGGCAACTATCTCCGCTGACAACATGTGGTGTCAGGCTTGTCCACTAACGACTCTGCATGCTCAAAAGGCATCAGGAGATTGGACACCTGTGTAGACAGATGACTCACAGGGGTCAAGATGGATGCCCATCATGCGTCATTGAGCAAGTCTGGTTCTGGACTATGAATTGAAGAAAGCTTGTAACTGCAGGTGAATGATGTCATCGCTGCTGCAGTTTGCACATGGTTTACTGAGTACGTAACGAAGTATTACTACAGCAGGGAACGAGCGTAAGTTAGCTTGCCCTTCAGCCAACTGGGCCTCTCAAGTCCGCCAACCTTTCTTCCTCCTCGAAGCACTTCAACTCGTTTGGAAGTGTGTAGAAGATCTGCTGAAGTAATCTGAGGCTATCTCCAAAGTCTTTGATTTCCCCTTGCTGCAAAAAGTACGTGTGGATCTCTATCAGCTGCTTTTTGATACGTGAGAATCTAAGCTCGTCTGTACACCACGGTTTATATCTGCTGTTTCTTCTGATGCAGGACGTTCCTTGACGCTTTGTTGAACGCATTCAAGATTGGTCTCCAGTATGGACTGTTTTGTGATGCCTTCAAGCTGGCAAGCTAGCGGTTGATTGACCAGATTCTTGTTATGACCCCTCCAAGTGAGATCGCAAGATTTCTGCCGGCGGGTTGTAGATCAAAGGTAGACCATAAGTAGACCGCGGGGAGCTCGTAAACGCGGACAGGGATGTAACAAATTTCATATATATGTTCAAACTGGTCCGCGCAAGACTAAGATCTTATGCTTCGAATTCCAAGCCTGGACACGGTGGTGACGTTTGATTGACACAAATCGCGAGTTTATCGTGCGGCCGTGGCTAGCCAGTGTAGTGGCACTCACTTGAACTTCGGAATGGTCTTCGAGTGCATCTTGCATGACCAGCCAGAAAGCATGCACTCAGCTTTCAGGCTTGTGTTAGCCGTGACCTATTTTGGATTGACCATCATCAAATTGCCTTGTATAGTATCGGGCATGCGACCGTCCGTAATTGTCTCATCGGTTTCCATATGCCAGTACAGGTATAAGTTCATGGCGGCCAGCATGCAATATGCTGGCATGCACACAAGCACTTGAAATACGGCTGGCCATACGGCTGGCCACTGCGTGTTTTGAGATTGATCGAAACTGACTCAGTAGGGCTTATAGTACATACGTACATATCTGCAGCCGCGTGTGGCTCCGCATTAGTGACTGGCGCCAAATTGTTATATATATATAGGATCGCATGCACCGTATCAATGACCGTATGCAAGCTTCTGAATCGCGTTGTGATCGTACCTGTTCACGTGCACTGCAGTGCACGTGATCATGCACATCATTGTCACTGATCGAGTCGATCGGATGTCACTGTGCTCATGCAGTCTCACATGTGGCTACCCAGGAGAACTGGCTGCGCGGCCTTGATTGGTGCCAATCCAGCATGCGCTTTCGCAAGGCCGCACGGCCAAGGACGACTAACGTTAATTGCGGGACTTCAGGTGATCAATATCTTACTGTACAGATCCGTCCATCTGGACGAACAAGGCAAGCAGTGGCGAGCGAACTCTGTCGAAAGCCTCGATCCTCCAACTCCGTTGTCTTTAGGTCAACTGACCCGTGTAAAAGTCGACAACCATAGCCGCAGTCGCTGGCAGCCAGCTTCGGCCCGTATGGGACGGCCCAGACCTCAAGCACACCTCTCCGAGGAGCATAAATGGCCAAGCACAAGTCGACCTGCAGCCACGTAAGACATTGCGATCGGAAAGAGCTTGCGTTTGAAAGCAATTACCGACTGTCAACAGTAACACAATCTTCGATTCGTGTTGGAAGCATCATTTCCGACAACGCAGAAGAATGTTCAAAGTTCTTCTTTGCTGTCTCGCAAAACACTTCATATCAAATTCAGCCCACCTTGGAGGATGAGAAACTTTGAAAGAAACGAAAATCCTCATCAGATCAATCAAATGATGGCCCCAACAACATCCTCCGACCGGTGCCCTCGTTCGAAGAGACCATGTGAAACGGCTTTTCACCATCCTCAAATCCAGGAGGACGGTTTTGCACCTCCTGCAAAAGAGCTCTTGGGTTTTGCACCAACTCCTTCAACGCTCAATAGAGTACGCTGAAACAACCCACCTGCTCTTGCCGCTCCTTCGCTGTCCACGCACATTGTGCGTCCCTGTAGCCTTTCCACACCCGCAGCACCACCTCCCCAAGGCCGTCTATCAGGCACACCCTCCCTAGACTGTCCACCACCGCGCCCAACGACCCCCGAGGAGCCATCCACACTCTCAGCCCTTTCCGGGGGGGATCGTCCAGGCTCCCCGCAAGACTGGCCGGCACCCCCAGCATCCTTTCCGCCCGGTCCCTTTCCGCCAGAACCTCCGCCTGAATCTCGTTATGTTTCACCAATTCCGGTTGGTCATGAGCTGCCGGAGGCTCATCCTCTTGTCCTAAGTTTGCCTCACTCTCGAGGCTCTGAACCGTTTCCAGAGATCGTGAGGCTTTGATGCCCAGACTAGTTCTCAGCTTTTCCCGCAGGCCCAGGCCGGTGGTTAGCGACCCCAGACTCGCTGACCTCGCGCTGACACTGGCCGCCAGCTGTCGCCCTAAGCCTGCCGGCCCTACGCTAACCATGTTTGCCGCCGCCGTGTTTACGCTGGCTGCCGCTGCACCCAGGTTATCAGCGACGGCCTTCTGCAGGCCTTGGAGGGGTATACTAGAAATAGTGGCAGTGATATTTACACCTGTTCCAGGCGCCGGACTAGCTTGCGGCCCCATGTCGCTACCCGCCTCTCCGTCTGCCCTAACTGCCTGCCGGTTTCGCAGGTCGAAGAGCTTGGTCCCCATCTTTGGCTGGAGCGTCTTTCCCAGAGAGAGCACCGAAGACGCCGAGGAATAGACGGCGCTTCCCACCTTCGTCGCAACGCCGGACGCTTTACTAAGCATGCTCTCCGCCTCCTCTTTTATCGGCGCGTCGTAGAAGGCGAGGGAGGGCTTTGCACCGACGACAACAACCGCATACACAGGCTCTTCAACAAACCCCCCCAGAAGGCTCCCCGGCCTGACCCCCATAATGACGGCATCGCTGACCGCATTCCATATCGCAAACTTCCACTTCAAGAACGGAAGGTATGCGCTTTTCCTCCGTTCGGAGACTGAAATGTCTGGGTTAGCCTCTGTGCTCTCACCACTGGGGGCTCCCGGTTGCGAGGACTGGCTTTCTGCGTTCGTGACAGTTGGCCGGCTTTGTTGCTCCCGAACAGGTGCGCCCTGACCCTTTCTCCGGCGAACGTGCGGCGCTTCTTGCTTCTTAGCGGGATCAAGAGAGCCCGTCCTCTCCATCGGGGCACCTTTCTGAATTTGCGAAGGGGAAGAGCCAGACGCGAGCTCTGGGGGTTCGTCCATCTTCAACACAGAGACCAAGTCGGACGCTTGCACGGCCACCAAAGCCCCAGGATAGACCACACTTAGTTCTTGCAGAGAGTCGCCGGCCGCCATTCCAGCAGTGGACGCCCGAAGGTGCAGGTTGACCACTGGAGCCCTGTGAAACCTCTGGCTGAGAATCAACGCAGTTTCTAGCCCCGATGAGCTGGTTCTGACCTGAAAGAACCGGGCATAACCCAAAGAGGTCCCCAGGCAAAGCCAAGCCCGGAGAATGTTGATGTCGGAAGCCTCAGCCCCACTGTCGAGTCCTTCTGGAAGAGACAACCACTCCAAAGCAGTAACTGACTCGAGAGCCTCGCACTTGCTGTCGAGCGCCCAGATTTGACCCGATAAGTTGGGGCTATGTTTTGTCAGGTCCCGTGCCCCTTTGGATGTAATGCTGCCTGCAGAATCAGGGGTGGGCACCACAGCGAGACTGACAGTCCCTCCCTTTGCAAACGCAAGGATTGCAGGGCCCTGTTCCCTCTGAAGAAGGGATGCTTCCACCAATGGATCATCAAGCCAGCTTGCTAGCTTCCGATGTTTCCCTTGCCCATTAAGATCTTCTGCCAATTGACCTTGGGAGGCTGCAATCCGGCCATCTTCCTCCCCCAAAAGATAAGTCCTTTCCGGTGGTCTATCAGTCCCTTCCGGTGTAATCCCCACCGTCTCTGTTCCCGAGGCCTCAAAACCCAGCCAACCGTCAGTGTCAGTTTCTGGTCTATTCTCCGCCTCAGCAGCAGCCTTCACATTCTGGTCGAACGCTGCCCCACCACCCGCCCCTAGCTTTCTGTTCAAAAGGCCACTTGGGCCCACTACGTCAGAGGATGGGCCAGCCTTCTGATTGGAGGCCCTTCTATTCTCAAGCAGTTCCACGAGCAGTCCCGCATCAATCTTACCAGCTTCAGAGAGTGGGTCAGAGACGCCAGGCAAGGCCATAGCGACAGCTAGCACCTGTTCTAAAAAGTGCTTCTCGTGATCAGCTGCCTTCAGCTAGTCACTCCTATTCAGGTACAAATTAAATAGAAGGCAGGACTCAGGACTCCCGCAGGAGACACAATTGGAGAGACACAATTGGCAATGCTGGCGCTGCATGTGCAACTTCAAGCAGAGAGATTGGTTTACAGCTGCAGGTCTGTTCCTTCGAGCCTCCAGGCTCTTCGACGGCAGCGGCTTGCTTGCGTCGGCCGTCGACCAAAGCTGCCCGTCTCGTCGAATACGGTACTCCTTTTCTGGGGTTTGCGCATGAGCGATTGGGTTAGCGTATTAGGGTTGCAATCGAACAAAGCCAGCTCCCTCACTCAGGCTCAAGTCTAAGATCAATGCGGACGGCCGCCTATCCTTTTCTCTCCCCTCCGTCGTCAGTTGTGTCTCCATCATTGTCAGTCCATTTTGCGCACGGAGTGTAGCAACTGCCTTCTGTAGGTGGAAATATCCCGTTTTCAATTGGAGCATTCAGCATGGGTGGGACAGCAGCTGATGATATGGAGTGGGGAGACATCGAGGGGGACGACTCCAAAACCACCCTTGTATTGGTGAGCACTGTGGCCTTGACATTGTGTTGTTAAAGGGTGAAGGATGGATTGCCTTTTATTACAATTTTCCAGCAGGATGCGAGGTAGCGGATTGTTGGATTTATGCAACACTTTCACAAGCAGCCTCCTTTTATGTTGTTCGATGCTTTGTGGACATCCAGGGGCTTCAGTGTAAACTGTTGACTTGAACAGAAGGTGACGCCCAAGACAGCACAGAAGGTGTGAGCTCCGTACATCACAGCAACCTTTCCGAAGTTTATCAGTCCTAAAAGCTTGCAAATTATTCCTTACATCCAGAATTGAGTTTTTGCTTGGACTTGTCTTGAGAAACCCTCTCATTCCTGAGCCTGTTTTGAACAGATACAATTGTGTCTACAAGACTTCTGGGCTGGGCAGGAGCGTTTTCCTTAGTTCTTCAAACCCTTCCTCCTGAACCTTCTTCAGCGAGCATGCATTAAAGGGTTTCCCTTGTACCTTGCAACAGGTGGGGAGGACTGGCAATGGGAAGTCAGCCACAGGCAACTCCATCCTTGGAATGTCTGCGTTCAAGTCTGCAAGGAAAGCTGCTGCCGTGACAAACACGTGCCAGCTCGAAACGATTGCTCGCGACGAAGGGGGCTATCTTGCAGTCATTGACACTCCAGGGCTCTTTGACTCATCTCTGCGGCCTGAAGAGTTGGAGTCCGAGATTAGCAACTGCATATCCCTCGCTCGTGAGGGCCTGCACGGTAAGGTTTATACAGACCAGGTTGTACCGTGGCAAGTTACCAATCTTACATCGCTGGTTCTCCCAAAGCCTTTCAAACTCGTGAGAAAAGCATCAATGGAGGTATCAGGCTGCCAGGCTTCAACAGATAGTGCTTGAAGTGTCACAAATGTATGCTGGAGAGATAGGACAATAGGGTGGTACAGATTGAATGCTTTGTTTGGACTGGCTATCAACACATAAAATGTGAAACATTACAACTGATCTGCCTCGTGGCGGTAAGGAAGAGGATCCTGAGTTTGATCCATTTGATGCAGCGCTCATCATCGTTCTGTCGGTTAGGAACCGGTTCACCACAGAAGAGGTGGCGGCAATCACCAGCCTGGAGATGCTGTTTGGGCCGGAAGTCTTGAAGTACGCAATTGTGCTGTTCACTGGGGGAGATGAACTGGAGGAAGATGAGACGACCCTCGAAGACTATCTGAACGGGGATGCAGGAGCGCAGCAGCTCAATGTGAGAGACGCTGCCTGTACTTAGCCTGGGTTCTAGCCTCAAGCGGTATACAGAGACAGGCCTTCAAAGGAAACACGCATGAGGATGTAATTCAGCCATTGTTTTTCAGATGGTTTTCATTGCTGATATTGTAGTTGTAGAGATAGGAGGCCCTTGGGAAGTTTATGTTTGAGCAAATTGTTTTTGCTGCAGTCTTCAGCATTTCAGCCGATGTCATTAGGCCAAGCCTCTCTGTGTTTTTGGCTTGATGTCTATCCCATGTGCCAGAGCGTTCATTTGTTTGAGATAATATTCACCAAATCAGCGGGGTGTGTTGCCTCCAAAACAAAGCCAAACTGCTCCTCTCCTTCCGAACAGGACCTTCTTGTCAAGTGCGGCGGCCGCAAGGCCCTTTTCAACAACAAGACCAAGGACCCGTCGAAACGTCAGCAGCAGAGGAACGCCCTACTGTCCCTGGTGGACAACGTTCTGGCGGAACACAGAGGCCAGCCATACACGCACGAGCTTTTCGCACGCGCTCAGGAGCTGGCGGCCGCTGCCAAGCGCGAGGCAGAGTTGAAACAGCAACTGACCGCGTCGCAGAGCGCGGAGATTGAGTCTGAGCGTTACGTTGCATTGAAGGCCGAGTTTGAGGCGCTCAAGCTACAGCTCATCAAGGGGAATGAGGACCAAGTGCAAGTCATTTCGAGGATTGTGGAGGAGAATCTGAGGGCGACGGCACTGCTGGAGATGGAGGAGAAGATGGAGGAGCTGCGGCAGAGCTCGGCCAAGCGGGACCAAGAGGTGCTGAAGCTGAAGGAGGCGAACGAGAAGGCGCAGCGCGAGCGGGACGAGATGGAGCAGCGGTGGCGCGAGGACCGGGAGAAGTTTGCGCGGGAGAAGCAGGCGTACGAGCGGGCGAAAGCGGAGGCGGAGCGGATGAAGAGAGAGTATGAGGAGGAGGTGCGGGCGCGGCGGGGCCGACTGGACTGCAGCATCTTGTGAGGTTCAGACTGTGAGATTGGCAGTAGGTTCACTGTCAGCTGAAGGCACGTTTAGAAGCGGATGAGTGTACAGTACTTGTGGATAATTACAGTGATGCTTGTTTAGTTGGTCGGATGTTTGGCGCGCTGGGGCGTCCTCTTGCTTTGTATGCATATGTATAGTGGTTATAAAACTCAGAGATCACGCACTGATGGGTATATGTGGATCAATAGTAGTGCTTAGCGCATTGAGGAACTGTGGTAGTAACTCCCTTGGGTAGATTTTCTACTTTTAGGAGGCAGCCGCCCAGGGTTGCACGAAATTCAGGTTGTACATTCCTTCTGAGGCACGTTCCTCTTGATGCACATTCTTTTCAGTGCCTGATTGGCAACCGATCGTCCAAGAAGAATTTCGCAGGCCGCATTTACACGTTTTCGCATACTTATTTTGCGCCTTACACGCAAGCTAACCGCGTCTTGCGGGGCAGCTACTATTAGCTATTCAATATATCCGATGCAGCTAAGTTTGTTTATAGGAATTCATGCATTTGAGTCACAGATGCTATGATGGCTGGGAGCCAGCCATGCGCGACCCGGTGCAACCATACCGTCTACCGTCGATCATGCATGCATTAGTATGCAGGATTCTTAGATAATCATAACCTGCCATGTTTCACGTACCGTACGACCAAGGTATGATTCCGAATGCTCCAAAAAAGCAATTATTTTAGCAAATGCGAGCCCAAATCATGTATTATTTTCTACTTTCCGGCTCTAAATCCGAATCGCCGAGAGATACTCCGGTACCCAGGTTTTGAGGGCCTTTAACGGTAAAAGGTACGTACCGGCTACTCATAGGGGGCCTTAAAAATCACTTTCCGAATGAGATTTAGCAATTAATTTCGGTTTCCGAAAAAGCAGAATCCGACTGCTTATCGGCCAGAGTTTCCCACTTTCCGAATGCAAATAATTATTTATTTATTCGGAATCATACCTTGGTCGTACGGTATGATACCGTGTGCGCGCAATGATGGATGCATGGATGGATCGCGTTACATTCAACGTACGTCTATATGGAGCCTAGGCATGGCATGACGGTACTATAACCTTCAACATGTTTGCGGGGGCCCGGCGCATTAGTATATATGCAGGCCGCATGCCAAACGCAGATTGCATTTGGGAGTACACACATGCGGGGCGATGCATGGTAATCAATGTGTATAGGCGGCGATCAAGTACACCACCTTAGAGCGCTGCCGGTGGTTTGTCTGTGTCATAAGCTTTAAGTTGCATGCCAGGCCCGCATATGGAGGGAACGTATAATCGTTTACAGTAGATTTTACTGCCACAGCAATTAGAAAATGGTTTACAGTACAGAAGAATTTTCATCCGACTTCTAGAATCGATCTGGCAGCATGCCAGCGAGTGTTCTGCTCGGTGCATCACCGCAACTTGCTTCCTCTGACTACAGGTTAAGGCAAAGTCCTGGCCACTGAGAATGGAAGCACAAAAGTAAAGCACGAGAAGTGTAGCAAATGTTCTTGCAAATCCCTGACAGAAGCGCCCCCAAAGCGTTCTGGTCAGATCCAGTCACCTTCTTGCAACTTCATGGGCAAGTAGACTTCCGTTAGGTACTGGAAACCGAAGGAACTCAGGGCCTCTGGGAACAAACCGGGAAAGAACCGTCAGATTCAGAATTGATACACGCCCGCGCCGCTCAGGGTGAGGAGTCGGAGAGGGGAAGACCGCATTCACAGATAATGTTGGGAATGCATTATAATTACCTTCTGGGCAGTCCCGAAATTATATAAGCAGTGCGTTGCGCACTCAATGCAACCGGAAATGCGAATCATCGGGTGTTTTAGCGAGCGAAATGAGTCAAGCCGTTGAGGAACTTACGTATTTCGGCCTTCTCCTTCTTTTTGACCATCAGCTCCAGTTCCTGGAAAAGCAGAAGTGCGAGTCAGCGGCGGTAGAGACTGCACCTCTGTTCATGCTTGTCTCTTTGAGACGTTTAATATCTTCAATGCTCAGAAGCTGTGACAGTCTGATAACAGCACAATTCAGAGGGGTCAGGCTTTCAAACCAAACAGTACCGTATACGGCAAATCGAATAAGACCAGAGCGTCGCAAGCGGCTGATTACCTACTCGCACATCATTGACAGCAAGCCGCGAGTTGCAAAATGAGGAGGCCAGATGGTTTTCAGCATACCGAAACCATTCGTTTTGGTTGAAGATATCGGCCATAGGGCAGCGGTCAGCTTACGGCATGCCACCGGGGGTCTTTCTTGATGAAGTCCTCTTCCAGCATCTCCTTTCCGGTCTTCATATCGGCGTCTGTCATAGGCAGCCGGCACTGCTCCGGGATCTTGAACCTGCAGGTGTAATCGACTCTTTGTGACACCTTCCAAAGTCGGTTGTGTTCGGACAGTGCTTCGGCCCTCACTAAACAACGTAATGCGATATGGGGTGATACAGTATGTCGTATGCTGCCGCCTTCCTCACTGATCTAACCGTCTGTTCGCAATCCAGCCTAAGACTGACAGGATAGCACAGATCCGCTTCTTCTCCTGCCGAGAAAGGTATCTCCTTTTTAATCAGAAGGCCAGAGCTTTTGGGCACGGCTTTGCCAAAGAAACCGCTCACCTATCTAAGTCGGACGGCCGCACGCCCAGCCACTTGATGTCTGGGGTCGTCAGGTTGGAGCTGTCGTAGGACATGTTTTTGGAGCCGCTCATGTACCTGGAAAACAAAGCGGCCGAGAGCGCCGTCAGCGGTGCTTCTTGTTTGGAGGATTCTATTTCCCCGACACATGTCATGAGCATACTCCGTTTGCTGCGTCCGAAGTGGACTTTGAACGAGGTTCTCACTGACTCCTCTGACAAACTCACAAAGCGCAGGTTCGAAGAACGGGACAGAGAAATCTTGAAGGAGCTCGAGCCCTGGCCGAAGTAAGATACGCAGCAGATAAGCAGAAAAACACAGCTCTGGAAGCGGGGCAGACCAGTGTGGGTGAAGAGCGGTCTTACACGGAGAGAATCTTGAGGCCGTAGGGATCGCTATCCACCAGGCCCAGGACGGGGATCTTTAGCTCGCTCTTCATCTTCTTGAGGAACAGCCGCGTCGCGACGTCAGGCTGACCCTTCGCCTGTCGGGACGAAACATGGTCAACAGGCTGCTTATAAAGTCCGATTGGTGCCTGCGCTGTACTCCCCCACTTTACATCCGATCGAACTTCCAGCTTCGCCTTGCATTGAGCGGATGAGAAGGTCGTCCGACTTGACAAGCTGCTGCATCCTCGCTACGAGTACGATAACGAGAAGCGCTCCATGTAATCTTGTTCCGCCAATCTGCGCAACGCTTCGTCAGCCGGCATCGTCAAGCAAGTTCTCCTAGAAGCTGGTTGTCTGTGCAAGTGGAAATTGTGTGAGCACTTACCGTGATGATGACGCACGGAAAGCGATTGTAGAAGCGGTCCTCTGCCAGGCGCATGAAGGCGGCGTCCTTCTCGACCAGCAGGATGAATTTGGCGTCGCTCTGAAACCCCGTCACCTTGTCGATGTTTGGCGGGATGGCCTGCGCACAAGAATGCCTCACAGGTCTCTTTCTGGTGGAACACAACCCGCAACTTCGACTTTCTCAGCGGCCCTCGCTCTCTCGTGCTGGGGGGCTCTACAGCTACTCGATGGTTTTGCGCAGTAGTGCGTTCTAGTGCACTAGATAATTTTCTCAAGCATGCGAAGTTGAAACATCAAGACGAGCTTTGAAGTGATGAAGATGCAGCAACAGCCTCAGTGCCGTATATTTAGCAGTCCACCCGAAACACGTGGTCCGAACAAATTCTCTCATCGTAACGCCGTTTGTTGCGGCTGAAAGCGGCTTGCTTGCAAGGGATCGCTTACCTTCCCACCAACGCCCATTTTTGTGCAGTCGATGACGTCACCTGCATGGTGTTCGAGGCCGACGTTTGGTAAAGTTCGTAAAACGGTCCATGTGAGATTACCGATCGTCGAAACACATTCGATCCAATCACAGGCGAATCGTCTTTTCCAAGTCGGGCGTAATCTCACTCAACATGGTCAGAAAATGGTCTCATTCTTCCAGATCGAGACAAAACGAAATCAGAGGTTTCCAATGGCAGCCGCATCCAGAAGAGTCCGTTGAAAGTAAAGAATTTCGCGCGCTGGGACATGGACATAAACGTCAGTAAGGGTACGCTGACATGCATAATGCGCCGAGGCAAAAGCTCAACGCCAAGACAAACCTTCAACGAACAAGCCTGTCCAAAATGTTGAAAGCAAAGACTTTTGGAAGGTCCTTCTCCACTTCGAGCCTCAAACGGTCCATCGCTCACCGTCTTCGACAAAAATCAAGCGGCCGACAACGACGCCTTTCTCGGAACCAACGACTACAAGCACGGAACGAATGCTGTCAGGTTGAGTGTCGTACTTCCGATCCGACATCCGAGGTTTAGAGACTGAGCGCGGGGTTCGATAGTCGGATACACTACAGCTGTTGGCGTGAAACCTGCCCTCTCGAACTTGATCCGAAACTCGCTGGTCTGCGATCCCACAAGTTCGAGCGTCGTTACACGATCGATTGCGATGTAACCCCTCACTCATGACTCGGAGATCATCACAAGAGAATATACTAACATGCTGATGTCGTGCTACCTACTTCCGCATGGTCAAATAACCACCAAGTGGATGCTTTGCGAGCTTGTGTACTGCAAGGTGACGCTGTTTCACTTCGAGGGGTCTGATCGCAAGAGCGAAGGTCAAAACTCTGTGGTCGCGGACCGGCGAACTTCGACAACTTCATGGGTGGCGAGTTTCACGCAAAAGCCGTAAAAGCGCAAGGACACGAAGTTCTGACGATACGTGTTGTGCTTCATGCAACCGAAATCGTGATTTGGTTCGATCGAAGTGGACAACTTCTCACTCGTTGCTGCTTCTCAGCGTCTAAAACCAGATTCAGGGTACAGTTGGCCAAGCGCGCTCCTTATTGAAATACTGAGAGTGCGGTTCAAAGACTTGCCGTTCAGGCTCGACCTGGTGCAGCCCAGCATGCAGCTGACGTCATCCAGGATAGTGTCGGACTGCCCCTGCTCCTGGAACAGCTTCACGTCCGTGTAGAACAGGTCGCGCTTTGTCACGTGGATGCCTTTGTTGCACAGCTGGTGTATGAGTTGCAAGATGCGTGTGGTGATAGCCGTCTTTCTGTACACAAGTAGTCGAAGGGGAAGGGAATTTGAGAAGAAGGACAACTCCAAAGCGCTTCAGTGGTGCTTCTTTGATAGTCTCGCTTAAGGTATCGTGAACCTGATTTCACTACTCTGCCTCGACAGAGAAGAACATCGTAGCTGATTCTGCTGATCGAAACTGTTCAAAGTCATTCTGTCACGGATTCTGCATCATGCAGATCTGGATGCAGAGGTTTTCAAGGGTCTTCTTACCTGACTGTCGACATGTTTCCATACTGACGGAAGGAAGATTTGTCCTTCAATACAACTGCAAGACAAAGTCACCTAGTTTCTCAGGAACCAATCAGAAGCCTTTTGTGTCTTGAAGTGCCCAGACTTCAACACAAACTTTTCCTGACAACAAGAATAAAGCAGAGCTTTACTTTTCATTCAGCAAGCTGATCAAGGAATAGCAGAAGGCATGTCAGGATCTCGAAGGCAGTGCATTGGTTACAAGGACAACTTGACTCACTTCGATCAAGCTGTGGCACATACAGCTGGTTTGCAGATGTCCTTGTAGGTATAGTGTATCCAAAACCTGGAAAAAAGGCATGTATTGTAAAGACACTCATTACATCCCAGTGGGGAAATCCTGTGAACAGTGGGCTTTATCTAGTAACCTTCCCTGGAGTATTTAGTCATGCATGATTGCACACGAATCTGCCAAAGTCAGGAAGGATTTTTGTTAGGAAACAATCAATGTTATGCTATGCGTTACTTTGGAGGCAGACTGGCTACTGATGAAAATCATGTTGACTGTCATGCAAAAGTGATGAAAGTATCACCAAGGTTGTGCAATTCTTGGGATCATTTGGGCCCGTAAGGACTTGGGATTTGAAGTAACCAAGGAAGAGCTGTGGTGACGTTTTACTTTGAGGATATTGTGGTTGACACGCATGTGGACTAAAGGTGCAATACGTTATTTGTCACAATCAAAACGGATTGCTTGGTATATCCACGTATTATTTTTTTGGTGAGAAAGTTCACATGGTTGGCCTGCTCACCATGTCCATTCAAGATCGATGCCGCCACCGACAGCATTGTCTTCTCAATCTCTGAGATCACTTGGGGAGCCCCCAGATCAACCACTTCTTTGCTCACATTTGGCAGGTTAAGGTCTTGCAAAGTTCTGCAGATTGAGGAGGGGGATCAGGGGTGCACTTTCAGCCACACCAAGGCCCACCACCTCAAATCGTCACAGAAGCTGAGTACCGCTCTACGACAGCCAATTCTACAGCTATCCTTGTAATACGTATTCATGGACCTAAAGGGCCAGAATGTACATTGAGGCCAAAAGGTTTGGCCCAACGCCAATTGCGCAAAATAAGCAACAAATTTCTCTTTTGTGAAACACAACTTTCTTCTTAAGAGGAGACCATCATCAAGCCGGCCAAAGGAAAATACTTACACACTTTCCTTCGGCTTCTTCTTCTCCGCTTCCGACAGCTTCGCAACTTTCGCCAGAATTTCATCATCGCTCTTCAGTTTCTTCTTGAATGCAAGTGCACCACCGTCGTTTGCTCCTGCAGCTCCCCGCTTCCTCCGGCTAGACATGCTGTCAGCAACTGTAAAGCTCCACGTTGTTAGTGGTTGCCAAAGCAAGGCCAGCAGAGCAAGAAAAGAAGAATGAATCAAACAAAAGAGCGCATCAGAATGGTGGTGGCGTCTCTGACGATGCTCATGCAAGCTAAGAAATCGTGCAAGCCAAGAATTTCTCTTACTAAAAACCCTAAACAGCGAAGCAGAACCCTTTTGCATAGCGCTCTTGACTGCAAAACCCTAACCCTAATACCTAAGCCTATTACACCGCTTGATCTTGAAGAACGTCTGCAAAACCAACACTTTCTCTAGCTTCATTGTCCAGCATTTGGAAGATTATGGAAGGCCTGCGCTAGAACGTTGTAACTTTGTATCAAGGTAAACTCTCTCACAAACTTTCACTCCACCCCTCTGAGCTGTCTGAGTCTGTGAAGAACGTGAGGAGCAGCCAACTTCACCATTGGATGTTCAGTGGAGGGGGGCGGCATGGCGCAGTATGAGAATGCTCGTGTAGACGACCTTGGGGGTGGCCTTGCTGCCATTGTCATTTCCAGGCCCCGACGGAAGAATGCAATGAACGATCAGGTCAGCACTGTCTGCGAATCACCCCCGTGCAACTATGCAGGGCACGTTCTCGAACAATCCGAGAGCAAGCACCTTATGCCCCTTGAAAAAGTTCCAACAAACGGTTGTTTCATGTCTACATTGCAGGGTAACATTGGGTACAGGGTCATCTATCTAGAATTTATGATGGCATTGCATTCTGCGAATCCTCAGCATCACTGAAAGAGGTCTTCAAGGCTGGGGCATCCTTTCAACAATAAGCAGCTTAAATCACTTCTTTGGGAGCTTTGTTGAGTAACGATGTCATGGGAAAGCTCGGTGGATAGTGATTTGTCTTGAATCTGAGTCAGAGGGGAAGCAAACTGCACAAATACTTTGTCGAGCTGTCAACATGTTCTCTGCAGGTCTACATGGATCTATGTGCAGCATTCGACCACGTGCAGAGTGATCCCCATATACATGCTGTCATCCTTACAGGCAAGGATGTTTTCAGCACTCTTATTCACCAAGGCTAGTGCTACTGCGGAAACACACGGGGTGCACAGAGGCCCTTCATATTCAAGCTATCAGCAAAGCGATGGGGGAAGAGTCAAGCTTCTTCATGCTGCACCTTCTTCTGTGATGTGTAGGGGAGGGTTTCTAGGAAGAATTTGCTCCTTCGAAAAGGACAGATGGAAGAGAACCTAGATTATGCTTGAGCCTTTCACTCAATATTAACTTTCAACGTGCAAAGGGTATCGTAAAGTTCGTCGTCCCCAGGCTTTCAGGGGCACTTTTGAGAAGGCGTTCTTGGCGGCATCGGAACTAAGCCTGGCTTCTGCCACTTTGCAGCTAGTCCAGTCAGCCATAAACCGACCAGATGAGAATGAACTCATTGCGTCTCACCATGTCTGCGAGTTTGTAAGGGTGCTTCTAGTCCATACTTACGCCAGACATGTTCACTTCAGGGGAAGGTGACTATTTCAGCTCCGGAGCCGACGTATCTGCGGCATCTGAACCAAAAGTGGATGCAGAAAGTGCTCCAGTTGGACAGTTCATGGTGAGACAGTGGCGGGCTGCGCATGTTTCTGCGTATGCTAAACCTGCAACCTGCCTTCTTTGGATGTTTACTATGACTAGTGCGGGTGTGTCATGGAGAAATTAGTGACTAATTTCAGTCGTCAACAAGTGAGGCTCAAGTCCAGAAAGGGGCATAGTGGAGTCCTTTCGGCTTTCCACTCGATCCTTGAGTTGTTGGTTCCGGTTGAGTAGCTGGTTCAGGAAGGGGTCTGGCCTTCTTTTGAACATTGTCAATCCCCCTTTGTGCAGCTTACTCTTCTGCGCTTTCCCAAGGTCGTGGTAGCTGCAGTAAACGGGCCTGCAGTAGGCATCGGCGTCACACTCCTACCACACTGCGATGTAAGTCTCTCTGCTTCTCGCGGCCCCTCCCGTGGACATTCGTTCCGAGGACCTTAGTATGGGTCGTAAGGCCACAAATCATACTGTCACTGCCCCCGAGATGTCTCATTCAAGCAATCGCTGCGGTTCCTTTTTCAACCCACGGCACAATTTTGCATGAGAAACTGCCTGACGCTGTGTATTGTGCACAGATAGCTTATGCTTCGGAGCGAGCCACTTTCTGGACGCCATCTCTTCGCGTCGCGTGGGTACCGGAGTTCTGCTCGACCGTCACCTTCCCCCAAATCATGGTACGTCTTGCTTGGAACTGATAACATCGAATCTGAAAACATCGAAAGAGCTCGTCACAAGACGTCGCGAGAACGCTTGCTGCAACAATGAATGGAGTTTCTCAAGGAAGGGGTTCATCCCTTGCAAAACTCCTCAGGGCGCTGAAGGACGAGACACTTTCGGGTTGTCGAGACTGTACAGCTGTTAAGGACACCTTTCAGACAAACGAAGAATGGCACCCTAGAAAGCCTTTTGTATCTCGTGCAGCCGCAAGTCGACAGAGCTCTTGACGAAAAGTAGTGCCAACGTTTGCTTATCTCGTCAATTCTTCCATCATAGATCTCAATACGGGCAAACTCCAGAGGCTATTCTCACGAAGGATCACGAGACATTCGTGATGGCAGGCTTTTGGCATCCAGAGGCGTGGACAAGAAACCTGTTGTCTTCGAGCCGATCTCACCAATAGCATGTATCAAGCCTCTACCGAGCATCCTTTCGAATCCAGACCTGCTTCCCGGGGTTCAAAGTGACGATCGTCTCAGAAGAGTTCCTTGTGCTTGTCTGCTGCAGGGCCCTTCCTTGGCCAACGAGATGCTGCTGATGAGCAGACAGCTGTCCGCTAAGGAAGCACAGCAAGCGCGGCTCATCTCGGAAGTCTTCCCCGCCGAAACCTTCATGGCTGAGGTGCGTCGAGCACTCGCGACGCTCGCTATTTCGTTACTTTTGAAGTGTTTGGACGGTTCTGCACTGTTACCTAGTTATATTCTTGTATCGATCTCAATCGGCTCATTGATTTTGCTATCATGAACTTTTCCTTTCTTTCTTCCCTCCGGAAGGTTCGGCCAGAACTTTGAATACTCACTGTCTCCAAAGACTGTCGTTGAGCTGCAACCGGTTTTCATGCTCACAAGGAAGGGCGGTCTCTTGGTAAGAAGAAACCCCTTTCTTAGAGCATTGCGAAGAAGATTTAAAATTGCAGTTGACTGCGTGAAAGGAGAGCAAATCTGCCGAACGATGCAGGTCCAGAGTCGTGTCCGGCACATGCTGGCGCAGCCGCTGGCGGGCCAGTCGCTACCACTTTTCAAAAAGATGATCCGGCGGCCAAGGCTGGCAGAACTAGAGCGGGTTTTCAGGGAGGAAATGGCGGAGGTCAGGCTTTCTCCTTATCTGTCTGGTTGTTTACCATCGCCTTGAGACCATCTGCTTGCCCAGAATACGTGTAGTTTCCCCTGGCAACCAATACTCTGTTTCTCGACCATCAGAAACCGACAAAGATTCTAGTAGGTTACTTTTACGCAGAATCTCAGCGATTGCGCACTCGTGCCATTCTGGCGACATGCTCGAGCTGTATCATCATGATTGCTGGTCGGAAGGTTGCTCATGTTGCATGCCGAACTCCCTTCTGGTAAGCCAGAATTGACAGGTAACTGCAGACAGCCTAATACGAAGCCTACGTCCAGATTGGGAAACGTTAGAAGGTCGGAAGCAAGGTTGCAGTCGTTGATCGTGGGCGACCCGCTCTGTCCTCAAATGTTCACACGCTTTTTGCCGCTCTCGGGCGAATGCAACGGCCTTGAGCAATGACTTGGGCAACGGAACCAATACTTGTGATTGAAAATCGTTTCCGCGTGTCTGATGTGCAGCTAGGTAAAAGGTCCGCTCAAGGTGACATCACGCAAGCGATTCAAGCGCTTTGGGAAGCGCGAAATAGGCGGCCAAACAGCCGTCTCTGACCAATATTGTGTAAGTACGGAAGAAGGGCGGACCTGTTAAAAGGAATACTTTGTCTGCGCGTGTATGGTAGAAAGTGTCGTCGTATCATTTTTAGAAAGGAGCTAAGGATGTCAATTCTGTTCAAAAGCGAAATTGATTTGCTGATGCTTGGCTTCTGGTCCATCGCTAGAGTCTCTTATTCAGCTGAGAGCGCGGCATCTTGGCCATAGCTGCAAAGAATTACATTCAGCCGGCAATGTCAAGCACAACTTGTATCCACTTCTGCAGCCTATTCTTACCATGTGGTGCGAAACAGCCGGGCCAAACCGCTGGTTCGGGGCGCGTTAGGTCGGTGGCAAGTATGCTTATCAATGTTCATAGGTGATGCAGACATGCGCACCGGCACTGTTAAGCCGGGCCCGCGGCCGCCGAGATTACCAATCACAGCAAATTAGCTCCACATGTACGCTGCAGCACATGCACTGACGCAAATCAAGTCACGTGCACCGAGTGCGGCATTATATCGTCCGTACTTCAGTCCCGTCTGATCCCCAGACCTGGTGTACGAGATCGACGCGTTAACAGCTGCTTAATTAGAATTAGTCTATACACCAAGACTCTACGTTAGCCAATTTATACACCAAGACTCTACGTTAACGGACGTACACCAAACCGTGCGCTATATGATGGCGACCGTTCGAAGAAGCGTGATGCATGCCCAGTCGTCATGCATGATGTACTATAACAGACTTTGTAGACACCGTCTCATGGTAGAGTGCCGCCAAGCGCCGGAGCGGCACTGCAGCACGCCTGTCAGTGTGATCTGGCGGTCATTAATGTTGGGGATTGGACCTAGCTTTTGAAAGATCCATTTAAAGGAATGGGTTGTCGATATCGAATACACGGCCACAAAGTTGCTGCTCCATTCCTCCTCTCATGTGGTGATACTACACAAAGATCGGAATTGGAAAACCAGCTTTAGTGCTAATGCGCATCTAAGAGACTCGACATCAACTGCATGATGCTGTTTCCATACCCAATGTTTTCGACCCTCACAGCATTCGTGTGGGGTCACTGCTCAACGGCTCTTGTCAAAGAGTTCTTCGTACAGTTTACCAGGAGTCAAAAGCGTCGTCCCACCAATGATAACCTCCGGTGCTTCCTGACCAGGAGGCGCTATGAGAGCCTCTCGAACGTCCTTGATCTGCAAACAGGGCGAGAGCAGAAATCATCCTAGTGCGGCATGTGACTAATCCTCGGGCTTCAATCGGCATCGAAGCACCAAGCTGGCACAGCAAGAATGCTGCTGATTGGAGGAGGGAAGATAAACGACTATGATCCGCACATGCATTTGAAGAAGAGGCGACCAGATACGTCACAAGACATCTTGTACGTGCTTTGTCAGAGACCGGAAGGTCCATCCGATGAGCACAATGACGACAAACCAGAATGCAACACAGGTCTTGAGTTCCAAAACATCAGCAAAGCGCCCGACGAAAGGAGAAACAGAAGGTTAGACACTTCGGGTGGCGGAGACAGAAAGCGCACCTCTCCCAGCGTGAGCCCCCCCACAACGAACACGAGCACCACCTTACAGTCCCCCGGTTTCGGACCGCTCTGAAAGTTCTGGAACCCGAACCTCCCGAGCCCCGTCTGCAGCAGCTTCTTCACCACCGACGCGACGTGCTCCATCCCGGGGACCTCCTCCCGGGCACAGATTCTGGCGACCAGCTGCTTCAAAAGCCCTGTGGTGGTCGCCCCGAGCGCCCCGGGACCCTGGTCCAGGTACCGGAACCCGTGCAGCCGTTCCCGCGCGGCCGCGACCAGGCGCAGTTTGCTGAACACCTCCTCAACCCGGTCCTTAACCTCGAGCCGTGACCGCACCTCGTCGTACGCTTCCTCGTCCGATGCCGGGCCAGGGGGATCATCCTCGTCGACGCCCCAGTCCGCATCCCAGCCGTCGTTCGTTTCCTCCCAGCCGCCCTCGCTTTCGTCTCCTTCGGTTTGCCTTCTTGACTCCCCCCCCTCGTCGGCGGGCTCTTTCAGCCCCCCCTCTTCCTGATTGGGCAACTCGCCTTCGCTCTCACGCCCCGATCCCCCGGCCTTTGTCTCTTCGTTTTCCTTCCGACGCTTCTCCCACATGGTTTCCAGGGACGCTTCTAGACCATTGATGAAGCCTAGGGGCATCGGCTGAGGCCCTGCCAGCACCGAGTCGACCACTGCCTGCTGCAGCGCCAGCTCGTCCTCCCAGGGGAACGGGCTCTCAACAGGGCCTCCCGTGCTGCTGCGACGGTTTGAAGTTGAAAGGTCGCCCGCCAGCGAGTAGGCAACGACAGCCAGCGTCAGGATGTCCCTGCACAATCGCAAGATTTGTATTTATTCTGTATTATTTTCTGTATTTATTCCTGCAACTTTGAAATCTGACATCCTGCTTTGGATTGTTGGACTTTTCTGACTTAACGGTTCGCCTCTTGCAGGTAGGAAGTGCTGAGACGTTGTGGACACAAGATTGTTTCACCTGTTCCGCTCTGTCAAGGCATCCGCAGGTCGCGTAGCCCAGCTCGATTACATTGCTGACAACCACACAATTGCCGTTTCAAATGGACCAACAACGTATTATATTAGAGCGAGTTTAAGAATATGATTTCTGTATCCATGGCCACCAAGCACGACTTCAGTATCTTCGGACTACAACCATTTTCCCCGGGCACAACTCGCAACATTGCCGCTCCTCACACAAACCTCGCCCCCTCACCTGAGGTTGATCACCGACGTCTCTCCCCCCTCCACCTCCATCTTGTTCTGCACCACCAGCTCCTTCAACTGCGCCACCAGACTGTTCATCTCCTCCGCCGCCGACAGCGCCATGATCTTCTCGGTGCTCGCGAGCGTTTCCCAGCGCGGCCCGTGCGGCGCGTCCAGTGCGTGCGCGCTCGCGCGCGCCAGTTGGATCAGCGCGCGGTGCTTGAGCGCGAGCCGGGGCTGAGCCTCGAGAGGAGAAAGAAGGGAGAGGATCTCGGACGGCCCGATCGCGCCCAGCTTCAAACGGGGAGCGGGGAGCTTTTCGGTGCGGACGGCTTCCTGCATGCGAGAAAGTATTTGGGGTGAAGACATGACGTCAACATTGTGGATGAGTCAAACTGAGGCCTCGGGAAATGACAAGCCTTGCGGCACGCTGTTGGCAGATCATGGGGAAGCTGAACAATCGAACGGCATATCTTGGAGTTCAGAATGGTGACTACACGAAGGTCAGGGGGCTCGGGGACTTCGGACCGTCCCAATTAAGGGGTGGACTCCGTGACACACTAGTGCTAACAGTTGCTTGGAGCTAAGTCTTCCATAAAGGCACAGTTTTGTGTTTAAATCCTGTCGGCAAAGCACAATTCTTCGATGTTAAGGGTTAAGTGTGGGCAGCTTTTGTAGCTGGCCGTGGTTGGAAAAAGTGGCTGAATTTGCGATCAAAAGGCTTGAATTCGGCTTCACATCGAGGAATCATTCCATGAGACAGCATCTTACCTGGAAAAGCCCGAAGCATCAAGAAACCATTTGCGGAAAACTCATGCGCCGTCTGGGACCTCTTGACTGTATACTGGTGTCACCGAACTGAAACTCTGAAAGTGGAAGCACAAAGCCCCGTTTGACTCCCTCCGAACCGTGTCAGTGCTTGATAGTCGGTCCCTCACGAAGCGATTGGCAAACCTTAAAAAGAACCACAGAACCACTTCTTAACCTTTTCAGCGTCGGCCAATGACCGGTCAATTGGAGCTCACCTGGAGAGCCCGCCGGAGCGCCATCAGCGCATCCTTGGAATTTCTTCTAGTCAGGAAGCTCTCCAACCGCTCTGTCGCTTGCGCGTCCGACGGTTGAAACAGCGCACCGCCAAGCCACGGCCCCCCGTTCCCCCCGAGCTTTTGCACACCGTTCTGTGACGAGGTTAGAGTCCCACCGCCGGTCTCCCCTCCTCGGATGTTGCTCTCACTCTCCCTTCGTTGTGAGAACTTCGAACTTTCCGAAAAGTCGTCTTTCATCAGCAGAGCGGAAGGGAAGAGATGGCCTAGGGGGACCCGGAAGTCGAGCGGCTCCCGCCAAATGGGTGTGCTGGCAACCGTGGCAGGGACGGCGGGTTGCGGGGGAGGACGACCAGAAGGCCGTTGGGGGAGAGCCGCGACGAGACGGTCCAGAAAGTTGTCGGCATGGGAAGCGGGCGTCAGCTGCGAGCGGTGCAAGAATGATTTGAAGCTTGTCTCCGTGGACACGTCCAAGCTTCAAGAACTTTCTAAAGGATAAAGACAAACATACGCGAACCTTTCTTCTTGCGCACGCTGTGCCCAAAAACGGCTGCCTCTGGAAGAAGCTATAGAGTTCCTATCTTAAGATTGCTTGCTAGGGCTCAGTGACCTGAAAACCGAGACGAGTCTACTGACCAGATTCTCCGAACGGCCTCCTGAAGCCACGCAAGAACGCAACAAGCAATAAGCAATGAGCAATAATCAATAAGCAAAAAGCAATAAGCAAGAACCATGCTCTCACCAAGTCAAGAGTCCTGTCCACCAGAACCACCCCCACGCCTGTCCGCGTTTCTACGGTCGGCAGCTCGGTCATCACTTTTGCGAATGCCCGCGATGTCGGTCCTAACGAGAAAAGCTCCGGCTTCAAGTCCAGCTGCGCCAGCATCTCCCCCAGCGCATGGGCCAATAGCGAAACGCCAGCTGGCAGCGCCTCGTCCCCTCCCAGCGGACCCCCTACCGACGGAAGCCCTCGACCCAGGCACTCCGCGACTGTTCCTTCTCCGTCCGGACTGTGTTCTAAACAAAGTGGCGCGTGCGTGACTGCCGCCGACGAAGGAAGGACGAAAGCCCCCGGGGCCAGAGAACAGAGTAACCCAGGGAAGAACCGCACCAAGATCTCAAGCTTTTTGCCACTTTCTTCCGCACCTCGTTCCTGCGCCCACTCATCACTTCCAGCATCCCACCTCTCCTCAGGCTCTTGGCTGCGCCGTGCCTCTCGAAGGACCCAGCTGAGCTCTCCAAAGCCTCCCCCCGTAGCATCTCGGCCGCTTGGCCCTGCTTCCGAGCCCTCACGCCGATCCTCATCGCTCCAGGCATCCCACCCGTCGCCACTCTCATTAGAACCACCGCGATTGTCAGGAATCGATTCCCCGTTGGACCCTTCTCCCTGATTCTGCTCAGCGGTGTTGTGTCCTGACTTTTCGAGGTCCTCTTGCAGGAGTTGCGCGTACTGGGAGTAAGCGTCTAGGCTGAGCAGGCCCCCGGGGTAGTCAGCATGCGCAGCCTGGAATGACAGAAGTAACAGTTACTCAATCCACAGACCAGGCACATCCTGGACGAACACTCCTAAGGAGCAGTGACAGTCCGCTACAAACAGAGCGGAACAAATTTTGTCTCTCAGTCCGCCTCCATCGACAGTTCTCAGGCATGGAGTCAAACGTGAACCTTTTCAGCCCCGCACTTTTCATGGCCTTTCAAGCACCACCACCTAGCTTGATCATCTGCTGAATTAGAAAGTGAGCTGCAGAACATCATTGATCCCTCACCTCAGAAACTGCGCAGAAGATTGTGCACTTGCGAACGTCTTGGTGCGCTCGTATAGCCCTCAGGATGTGGCGGTGCGAGTCATTCAGCAGCCGGCCTGTGAAGATTACAACACGTTCCAGCTTGGCAGAGCCACCACCAATGCTGGCAGCGACCTGTAAGAAAGAGGGGCACATGCCTTGACGGCGGAAGGTGGAAATGGAGTGGTGTCGGCTTGCAGAGAAGACAAATTCAGAGCTTTCCGGTGGCCCTGTGCAGGTGCCTTTCATCAAGCAAAAGGACAATGAACAATAACGAGATGCGCACAGACAGAGGGTTGTGGCAGCTCATTTTTTGGTGCCTAAAGCAATGGTTGGCGTCAGCAGAGGGCACGCCTTTCAACAAACACTTCCAGACACTCGGAGCGACAAACGGGAAGGAAGGCACTCGGTTTTGAGGTTAGAAGAGGAGCATAAAAGAGCTACACAATCATCCCTCAAGTAAGCCAGCAGAGCAGCGGTTCCGGCCTCACCGCATCATTGACTGAAGCATCTTCCAAGGAACAGACAGCGGTGGCCCCAAGTCCATACAGAAAGCTCAGACCTAAGTTGTAGTACGCCGCTTCCCCAAAAGGGGCGTCCAAGTAGATCAGAGCATCTGATATGTTATCAGCAACTTCCAAGAAGGGCTTGCGAGCCTCGTCAAGCAGGTTGATGCTGCGCGCAGAGGTGGCAGCCATCGCAATTGGGCAGCTCGTTAATCAAAGAAGGGCCAGTGTTGACAATCTACCTGATGCACATTTTCCACAGAGCCAGGCGCCCCATGCTTCTGATCGAAGGGCAGGGGAGCTAGCGTTTGAGAAGAAAATATGAGAAGCGAATGCAAAGAAATGCAGCCAATGGATGCAAGCTATGAAGTGGCGCCCAAGGGGTTACTTGTACCGTGGTTTGGCTAACCCCGAATAAACAAAAAAAGCACGCAGTCGGGTACTGGCGAAACCCCAGCTGTAACCCAGATTGGAGTTCAGGGTTTCAGGTGGCCATAATGCAGCGCTCGGCTAAAGCAGATCAGCACGCAGGCGAAAGCAATGCATGTGTGGCATTTCCTCTGATCTGCTGGCGAGCCAACTTGCGTAAGCTCACTGTGCTCTTCAGGATAATCCGTTCTCCATACAGCCATTTCTCGGCCTGTGGCCTTCTGTCAGCTGTCGCATTACGAGTACTTCAAGGGGTCAGAGGAGCGCGCAAGATGCTGAAAGAGCGGTGCCCTCAAAATGAGTGCCCCTGCATCATGAAGGAGGAATGACGGTGGCGAAGTGCCCAAAACTCAGGGCTTGTTGGGTGTCCCTCTGACCACCGCCAGTCCTCCTGAAGAATTTGGGAGGCGATGGCAGGTATGTAGAACCTTCGGGAGCAAGGTCCTCAGAAAGTACTGAAAAAGGAGTCAACAATGATCTTTCTACGATGCAAATGCCAGGAATGTGTCAGGAAGTGAGAAGATGTTTGATTGGTGATGCGTGAAGTCAAAATTAGTACTATTAGAAATTTCGGCTGGTGGTTTCTCATGTGCGGGGGTGAGGACTTCTTCACCCCGTATTCAGACAACTTCTGTTCCCTGAAGTTGGAAAACTGATTTGCTTTTTAAGAAGCACGAAGAATGTGTCACGATGAAGGTGTCACATCCTCTCCAGTACCTGTCAAATGGTGTCCGCGTGCAAGATCTATCTGCTAATCCTCAAATGTCCTGACATCCTTCCTTGCAATTGATGTTCCATCTGTGGTGGTACCATCAAATGTGGCAGTGTCAAGTCCCAAGGCGTAAACATATGCGGAAGAGAAAGATCTGTAAGTTTTTTGCACTGTTGTCAAATATCATCTTTTGGCCTCACAGACGATGTACTCTCACGCGTCAGTCAGCTTGAGAAGGAGCTCGATATCTCAAAGAAAGAACTGGAGAAAAGGTAAGTTCCTGATTGCGATTGCAAACAAATTCTTCCTACTTTTCTGGATGTCCAATACTTGCTCGCAAAGATAGCTCCAGCACAGATACTGTGACTTTGTTGTCTTGACTAACCAAGGGTACTGAATGTCAACACATTACTTCATCGGGGCGTAAATGATCGAAGCAGATATGGCTGCGTTCATCAAACTACCACTCTTCCAAAGAGGCATGTTTAAGACTTCGTGATGCTTAGGTCTCTATCATTGGGCTCTCCTGAACATTTCTTTTGCAGGATCAAGCACTACGAGGCTAAGCTCGCCACCCTGACTGTGATCAACGGGGCCCTTCAGCAAGAGAACGATCAGCTGAAGGAGGAGGCAGAGTCCTATGAATCCCATGGGGATGATTCGAAGGCATCTCGCGCAGAACAGGAGCTGGCCGAACTCCAAGAGGAGTTCACAAAGAGGCTGGGAGTCGCCGAGAAGACGGTGTGATAGTGTTATTTGAAAGTGTTTTGGAGCCCAGTATGGCTGTACGCTTGTATGCGGTGGACTGGAGTGGAGGGGACAGAGCCTTTTGCCCAGTCCCATTTTTGCCATTCCTTTCTTGGCTGTCCTGTAACTCCTGTCCTACTTTTGTGAAGGTCTTAAAATGAAGGAGTGGCTTCTCTTTCGAGTCTTGTCATTGTCTCTTCTCGACGAAAGGGCTTTACGACCTATCGACATATTGCAAACCTCGTTTGCAGGCTGCCTCTATGAAGGAGCAAGTTTTTGGTCTTCGAGATGAGGTGAAGGTTGCAAATGGGAGGGCGGTCGAGGCTGAACGGAGAGCGGCAGAGAAAGACGTGTCCATCAAGCAGGTACTGGATGCCAAACACCCTCTGTCTTTTCCAGCACTACTCCTTTCTATTCTGTTGCACGAACGTTTGGAAATCGAGTTCGTATGCACATGATCGTCAACACTCCTGCTTTCGAAGTGAGACTTGCTTCAGTTTTGCATTTGAGAACATCGTAGTATCCTCCTGCTTTCACCTCTTGTCTGAATCACACTTTCTGAGTGCAGCTACAAGCGGAAGGGGTCAGTCTGTCCAAGAAGATTGGCGAACTTGAGGGTTTCCTCCGGAAGCTAAGGGCGGACCAGACCTCCTGGGAGTCTGAGCGAGAGCGCCTCAACGCACGCCTGCAGGTCATGGAGGCCTCCGCCAGGAGCGACGAGCTCAACAGGTATCGTGCATGCTCTTAAATATAGCTGTTATGAGACTCGTTGAAAGACGTGAAAACAGAATGTAAAAGGTTCAGAAGACAATCAGTATGCTTGAACTGAATCTTTGAGTTGCATCACCAGAACTCCCTGATGTTTGGTTTAGACGTCCAGACCGTAGGAGCCAGGGAACAGAGAACAAGACGGCTTGAAAGCGTTGAGAATATCCTCGATGTGCAGGAGACTTGCAACTTCACGGAGATTCTACTAAGAATTTAGCCTTGCTTCATCGTCGCTCTGATGGTAGTGGTCAGTCTTTCAAAGTCTGCTCGTGTCGCCAAAACAGGTTCTCATGGCGGTTTTCACCGTTGCTCCAGATCTGCCGACGTCGAAGGTTTGAGGCACGACATAGAGGCCGCTAAGCAGGCCAACACCGAGTTGAAGGAGTTCTACACAAAGGTCTGAGGCGAAGATCTTTCATCATTCCATGCCTTGGAAATCGTAGATCTCTATGGAAGGTTGCGCAGAAGCTCGCAATCACAGCGGCTCTCTTCTGCCTTTCAACACGTTCGGCGAACAACGCCTGCAGCTTGAAAGCGCTTAGGGGCTTTCCTGTGAAAACTGCCGTCACTTGCGCCATGTGTTTTGGCGGCACTTGCTGGGCAGTGGGATCAGTGGAAGTTGTATGGGCATGGCAGGCATTCTCTTGCTTTCTGGTTGACTCCAAAGCCTGCTGGTCTGGTGCACCTCACCATGCAACAATCTGATGGAGACAATTGTTCGCAAGTGTCAGTTAATTCCCACCACCTCAGCCTCCCAGGATACCTCTTGAAAGACTTTTCTCGCCGTTTCCCGTCCAGGCATTGACTGACGCTCAAGCGCACGAGCAGCAGGAGTTGGATCGCCTGAGGCAGCAGACTGCCGCGCAGAGCGCTGCGGCCCAGACCCGGCTAGCAGAGCAGCAAGCGTCCTACTCGGCTACAATCTCGTCACTTCGAGAGGTGAGCTCTCCACCACCGTACTGCAATCCGAGTCTCCTGGGAACATACGACGACCTCTTAGCTCGGCTCAACATCCCTTCGCTCATTGTCAGAGAATCCTTTGAAGGACCGGTGCGGTGTGAGAGGTCCTGACTCAAGGCGTCGTCAATGGTGAAAGAATTGACATCATGCTCAGAATTTTACGATACTGCTGGTGCGGACGCAGAGTCTGGCGAGCGCGCAAGAGGACGCCAATCGAAGGGAGGACAAGTTGCTGAAAGAGGTGAGAACCTGTCGTCTGTTGGTCGAGTATTTTATGGGGCTCTCGTGGAAACAACGGGTTCCTGCATGCGCAGCCTTGGCTTGTCTCTTCCTTAGCTCGTTGCTGGACTCTCTTGAGATTATTGACGGACCGCAAGTGGTCCGCTTTTTGAACATAGGATTCTGATTCCTAAGCCTCGAGAGCTTATCTGATTCCGTTTCCTGCAGTTGCGGGAGTTGGAAGCTCGCTGCCGAGCTGCCGAGGCAGCCCAAGAGGAAGCGGCTGCCAGGTTGACGGAATCCACGAGACCGCTCGTACGGCAGGTGAGGCGCCACGTGTGCTGATCATTTTCTGCAGCCTTACCAAGTATAGTCAAGGTTTCACTGCTTGCTGAGTTCCAGATTTTATGCAGACATGCGGCATTCGGATCTAGATGACAGCCAGTTGAGTAGATGCCGCTTTTCACACTGTGCTAAGGCCCGTCCAGAATGGTTGGATAAATCTTCCCACGTGCTAGATTGAAAACAGATTTCGATGCGAAAGGCGTTGTTGACACACAGCAATACGGTCAATTCGGAGCAACCTGCCGCGTTCATCGAGATTTCGAACTCTCCGACTGAAAGCTTCGCTATCTGAAACCAGCAGATCTCAAAAAACGTCACTATCATCTGCGTTCGAACTTGGAGAAGAAGTGGTTACCTTCCTGTTGGGGCAGATGGAGTCGCTGTCGCTGCAACTGAACCAGCGGGATCACGAGGCCGATCTCAAGCAGCAGCAACTAGAAGCGCAGCTTAGCAAGGCTGAGTTGGAGGCCCGCGAAGCAGTCGAGGAGCGGAAGCGAGCGGAAGGGTTGGCAAATGCGGCGGAGCGTCGGGTACACGTGGCGGAGAAAGCGGCGGCGGCGGCCCGGGCAGAGGGGCGGGAGGCGATGGCGAAAGTGAAAGAGTTGGAGGAGAAAGTGCAGGTGGGCAAGCGAAACCAAGTCTGGGTTTGCGGATCGTTCGGCAGCGATCAGAAGTTTGGGCACGAGGTTCCGAACTTGATAATGTTTTGAAGAAGCGAAGCTCTTGCAAGGAAAAGGCTGGCAAAGCTGCGCGGGATCTCTTCACGGATAATAGATTCGTCCGGCAGTGTCAGGTCGGTGGGCGAGAGAAATTGAAAAGGACACTATCCTGACGATTTCATGGAGAAGAGAATGGCCGCAAGCGGAAGATGTTAGCATTAAGACTTTAAGCTTTTGAGACGACGTCTCAGCGATCAGGGCGTGCTGTTTGGTCGTGCAACTAAGGTGGAGCTGACTTATTCTGTCTCTGCTTTCCTTCAGACTTGGCGACGGGAGTGCGAAACGGCCCTTGAAAAAGCGCAGCAAGCGAACCGGGAACGGGATGAAGCTTTGGGAGCACTGACAGTGGCGCGTCTCGCTAAGGAGGTGAGCTTTGCGACGCTATCTCCCAGCTACTCGCAATGTAGATTCAAGTCTGCGTAGTTGACCATTGGCACTTGTGCTGGAGAAAGCCGGATGATCTGAAACCTTGCAGCTTCCCGCTCCGTAGATGCTTCTATGCAGAGTCGCGGCCATGTTTTCCTTCTTACACGGTATTGTAACATCCAGGCAATCGTGTGCCGCAAGCACTGCTTCAAAAGTCTTCGTCTTCCCTTCTCTGCGTTTTTTTCTCGTCGCACCAGTATAGAAGGGTGTCCTGCGCTCCAAAGACTGACTGACTCTTGTCATGCAGGAGGCGGAGAAGAGAGAAAAGACTGCCAAGCTGGAGTCTCGGCTCGAGTTGGACGAGGAACGAAAAGCGCTGGAGGCCGAAAGGGTGAGCCCTCATCTTCTGAAGCAGTGACAGATCCATCTAGCGTTAAGTTGAGCATGCTTCGATGCTGCTTGCGATGCCCATTGTCAAGGGTTCTTCTGCCGTCGCGACTTTGCCCCTTCAGAGCGTACTTTTACATATGCCGACCTTCTTACTTGAGCCTTTCATGTCTCCAACTTGTCACTTCTCTTCCACAGGCTGCCTTGAACGAGCACCGGCCGAGGGGGATCCCTCTGACGGCCGATACTTCGTTTTCCAGACAAGGGTCCCGAGACTTCAACGGTAACGCGGTGGATGAACCGCCGAGCCCCACGAGTAGCACGGCAAGCGACTACACGTCCGAAAGCTTCGGTAGCCCTAACCCGGGCTTGGTTAAGCAAGGCAGCAGGCGCTTTTCGGACGGGTTAGAAGCGCTCGGGCGGAACCTGACGGGCGGAAGTGCGGCCATGTCGGAACGCCTGATTGCAAAAATCAGGTGAGGGCGTAGAGCAGTGTCACTGGTGGTAAAGTTTGCGAAGGGCGTCCGAAAGCCCGCTATCGAAAAGGGTTCATGTCCGCAGACCTCCAAGAAGCTCCTCTGACATCGAGACGACTAGCTGAAACGGATCCCTTTCAATGAAAGGATTTCAATCGACGGGAGTAACTTCACCGTCTCGTAGGTGCTCATCTCAGTGAAAGGTGCTGACTATCTCCGCCAAGAAGTTTTCGGCGGAGCCCCCGACAGGGCGCGTAGCCTTTGTATTCACCCTGTCCTCAACCGTGCCGGCCGACAAAGTTTAGAACAGAACAGAATTGATGAGCTGTCGATAGCACGCGATGGTAAAGGTTGAGTAGATCAACGGCACTTGCGCATATTTCAGTATTTGTGCAACCAGGGTGGTCCGAGATGGCCAAATTACATGCGCATGCGCGGCCAAAGGGCGAACTGCTCCGCCATGTTTTTGTGGACGTACGTCCACCGCCTACAAATGTCCGTGCAGGCAGTTGCAGGGCGAGATGGGGCAGCTCCAGCGGGAGGTGCAGGCCATGCGGGCCGCCCGCGAGCGCGAGTCCGAAGAGCTGGGCAAAGCCTTGGCCCGCGCCAACAGCCTCGAACAGGTGACCTACTCAAAGGCGTAGCCGTGCTGTTCTGGGTGCCGCTGTTGCAGCTATGCCGGCCCGTCGCTGTGGGTGTTGCTGCGAACTTTGGATGTCCTGGCTGCCCTGTGGAACGGCGTTAAGCATCGGAACGGTCTTGCGGAGAAGAGATCTCGCTCTAAAGCAATCTTGAGAGAACGATTTAGTTTCGGTTTGTGTTAAGGAGGCAGCAAACTTACGGGGTTTGGCAGAGCGGCTGCTCTGGTGTCACGGATCTCCCGCTGGCATTGGGTACCGTGTTGCCGCACTTGTACCCAAGTCGTTTTACGGTCAGCATTTGCCAAGTTCGGCGTTGCTTACGATCAACTTATCTGGCTCCGGTGAAGTCAGTGACACACGCGGTTGGCAACGGCGGCTTTCCTTTTGCCGCAGGACGCAAAGGACTCTCCGCAGCTGCGGAAAGAGTACGCCGAGTTGAAGAAGCGGCACGACATGGCGCTGGTCATTATCGGCGAGCGAAACGAGCGGGTAATGTGCACGAGCCGCCTCACAAGCTCTCTTCCATTTGCTGTCAGACATCCTCTCGTCAATTCTCAGAAGTATGCTGTGAAAGGCTCTTGGGGGAAGAGCCTGTCCCCTGCCCGTACTGAGACGATGTTGCTCGGTTGATTGGAGCGCTGTCAAAAATCTGAAGGCTACCAGTACGCTTGCTTTGCAAATGTGGCGTCCGTTCTGCAGAGTGAATGCTTTTCGCCACCTTTGGTCTCCTTCGCTCGCTTTCTTTCGGTCAGAAACACGTCAATGCTGCTTATCTGGTAGTCAGACCTCATGATTGCTAGGGCACGTCAAGATAGTGCAGTACGCTACCTGCGGTATTGGTAACCTGTGCATCCTTCCATTGACGCCCAACGAGCCTGGTCACTTCCCATTGGCAGGAGGCTCTAGTAGTCTCGATTGTCTTCCTTACTTTTCGATTTGACCAACGTGGAGTTTGCTCTATTCCAGGCAGAGCAACTTGAGGAAGATATGAACGATGTCAAGGCCTTGTACAGAGAGCAGATCAATCTTCTTGTTTCTCAGGTGAGTCTAGATGCTTGCGGAGAGCGAGTCCATGTTCTGCCAGGGGGTTGATTGTTCGTTGCTCTTGGATCCATTGGTCGTAACAAGAGAGATGCCTGCAATGTTGCTCACAGCCTTCTTGTTGGAGTTTGCGTCACTCGCCTGAAAGCAAACACAGTCAGGAAGAAAGTCGCCGACAAGGGTGTTGATTACGTCAATTGCCTCTACCCTGGCATTGAGGCGGTATTTTTTATTCTTGCAGATTGATCCAGCGAAGTGGCCAAATGGGTACAGGATATGTCTTTTCTGCTCACATTGTGCACAGATACACAAACGCAAAGCTTGACATCTGTAACTTTGAGCTGGACGGTGCCATTGTGCAATCGGCTTTCATACTCGCTCGAGCAGTACACGTTAGCTCATGTGGCGCTGCTATGCATAACTGTGGCTCGGGAGCTTCTTCCAGCCAGTGGCGATCGGATATGGGAGGCCATCATGCAGCAAGCATGAAATCGTGAGGCGATGTTGCCCATACACGTCAGAGACGCGTTTCTGCTATTATATGTCCAGAATATTTTACTGCACGAGTGCCTTGGGCGATGTCGTTCACAAAGTCTGTTCAGTGCCATGTGTACTGACAGTGAGCATATGGGTGGTCCGAGTGGCGGCCGCCATCATTTTGTCACTCTGGTGAACTCAGCAGGGCCACATGTAATCAGTGTACAAGGATCGTCCAATTAATCGGCAACTAGAAATGTTTGTATCGTCACTAATCAACAGAAACAACGCATGCATATGCCGCTGGCTATAGGCGCTCGGGTCATGCAGTAAGCTAGCCTGCATGGCATGCAATGCGCAGTTGCGCGCGCTTGCATCATTAATGCAGCGCACGTGCCATTCCAATAGGTATACTAAAATAAAGCTAGGATCTTTGAAAGCTAGTGCAGATGCGGCGCGGTTAAAAATTGATGAACCGTAATAAAATATGGTCACTGCAGTCTTTTATAGAGTGCACTCGCTTCTAGAGCTAGAGCTCCCATGATGAGTATGCACCTCATGTTGATTAATTGAAGCTCCCGATTCAACACGCATATATAATGATCGAGCTATAGGCGTTCAAATCTCAAAACATTGATTCCCATGACGGTATCATTGCCATGAAAGCCTATGGCCCATGTGGCTACGGCGTTTGAAAAGAGAACATCGAGCCCATGCAATGCATCTAAATTTCTACGTGTACAAAGAAGTAAACCCAGGTATGTAGCTCCGAGGCTCATGGACACGACTGCAAGGATTAGGCCGTACTGGGTACGCGGTAGCACGGCATCCGTCCATTGAGATGCTTACGATCCGACCTTGTACATGCACGCCGCGCACGACTCGAGTGACATCCTTCCGGACTCTCTGATTGAAGATCCAAGCCTGCACAATACGTTGTCGTTCTTGACGACGTGGCCAGCGAAGCATGCTAAAAAGCTAAGCGTTCAGTGCACTCCTTAACGTAGTTACCTTCACTACAAGTGGCGTCCATCCTATCTGAAACAGTGACATAAATTAGGCGGTAAACTGTCGAGTCAAACTGTATCACAAGGACAACTCTTGCACCGTATTTCACACACACAGTTGCCCAAGCTGATCCGAAGCTTAAATAGCCTCATCCTGACCAAACCCCGTAAGATTGTCGGTGGCGGGCGTGCCCTAGGCTCTTCCGGTCGGGATCTTGGCAGCATGCCTAACGCGCGTGATCGCATCTTTGTCTAGCTATTAGGCTAGAGCTTTATGCACTACGGCAGCTATTAACCTTAACCGTCGACTTTTACCTGCGCGACAGGCTGGTTGCACATGCAATCCGGCAGAGGGTTCGCAAACAGCTCCTCCGACCAACTCCTATCTTGCCTCCTCATGGGGCCACCGTCACCTGCTTCGAGGTACGTCCACTCTCTGATCTGTTTCTGGTAGTCAGCCCACGTCTTGTTGTCAAATCGATTGAAGCCCCATGCGGGCGCCTTGATCGTCTTCTTGTGGCCGTTCCATTTCCGGACCCCCTGCACGCTCTCGCCCATCATGCCCTCGAACGTCAGCGCCGTGACGTCAGCCTGCGTCAGCACGTGCATGTCGACCGCGGCGCGCACGTTGCTCCTCCCGTCCATGAACTTCCTCTCGCCCGCCGTCGCCAGCATGTCCTTCGTGTACACAAACGGGAACCGCTGGTAGAACGGCGCCATCGCCTTCTTCTCGTCGTACATCTTCCCCGCCGCGAGATAGATCCGCGTGTTGCGCGAGAAGCCCAAACCCTTGAGCCACATGCCCACTTCCAGGGGCGTCGGCGGGCATTTCCCGATGTCCCGCAGCTCCTTATCGGGTTTGGTGATAGCCGGCCATGATCTGTCTTTGCGCATTTCCGCCCAGCGATCCTGCTCTTCTTGTCCCCCCCAGTACATGCACCCCGAGTGCGCGAGCATGTCCTCTTCAAAGCGGAGGTGGAGCGCGAGGAAGGGCCCCCCGGCGCGCTGCCTCATGCGCTCGACTATATCGTTGCCCAGCTTTAGTATCGGATCGGTGAATCTGCGACTCAAACACTTTGTCAGCAAAGAAACTCCAAGTGGACTTCGCTGAACCAGACGAGACAGGGATGGCGCAAGTCCTTCCAGAAAGAATCGAAGATTCCGTGCGAGTTTCAGAAGCTGTTCATCCCCAGCACATGAGTTGAATTGGCGATTTACGCAAGGTAGAAGTAGATATCATATTTTATCACACCCTTGTAGAAATCCAGCACAGACATCTTCTAGAAGTCTGCCAGCGGGGCCTCAGCTTGCCCGCGCAGAAAACATTTTCTAGACCGATCAAATCTGACAAGCTGTGACACAAACCCCAGGTGGATGGCAACCGGTCCCAAGTACCATACATGCAAGGTTTGCTTTCGAAACGAGAATAACTGGGAAACGACACGACAAGCTAGAGCAGCCAAGTTTCGGGTGCAAGGAACTCACTTGAGAGCCTGGAATTTGGCGCGGCATGCCAGTCTGGACTCCTCAGGCGAAAGGGAATCATCGTCAAGGGCGCCAAACATGCCCACAAACTGCACCACTCCGGCTTTCTGCGGAGAACGACCAATGGAACGCTGTTGTTTTCGGGAAATAGTGGCATGACAGCATCAACCGTTCATGCAACTTTTCGTTGGATTGAAGATGTCGTCTCCCCGGCTCTATGCCGAAGCTTCCAGAATTGATGTGCTCTCAACAATTCTGCTCTGACACACAAGCGTAGTGTTCAAGCGAGAAAAATTCTGCACTTGCGGCGGCATCCGCGACTTCTGCACCAGTCGGGACTTACCTTGGCGACTGGAAGAACCTTTTGCCGGTAGTCGTCCGGCGTGCCCTTGTAGATTGCCGAGAAGTCTTGCCACTTGGTTTCAGGGAGGGGGGGCGGTGCCTGCAGTTCAACGGGCAGGGCAGTGCTGGCTGTCATGTTGATGTCATCCTTGAGGGTGGCCACAAAGTGGGATATGTTGAAGATGTCGTTGAACGTCCTGCGTAGAAAAGGCGCACATTGGTGAGATTTCAAACCAAACCTGGAGGGGGGGCGCCGAGTATCTTCAATTTCAGCAATCGCCCAGAAACTGTCGTGACAAGGGGCCATGTTCAGGCCAAAGCAGGACGGAGAGACTGCCGAAGGAGAGGATTTTCCGGAGATGGCAAAGCGCACGTCCTTGTACAGAGGCTGGAGTACAAGGTTTCCCCCCTCTGTGTCTCCCGTGGTGCAGCAGAATTGGGTGGTAAGCTGGTGAGTATCAATTGGTCTGGTCGTCCAGTCTCAACACGCAAAGGATCTCTTGTACATGGTGCACAGAGACCTCTTTTCAAGCAGATAGGTCCAACAACTCCAGCAACAACTGGAGCGCAAAACCATATGATTGGCATTGGATGCAGAACTAGCGTTCCTGCTACTCATCAAACACACTTGGTAAGACGTAGCCAGCGGTGAAAATTATGCATGCGCAGACTGCACAGGTACTTGAGCAGCATACCAGCTTGGCGGACACCTCTTCGTCAGGCTTACTACAAAGAAGGATGCTACGATTTGTGAACGGCCACCCAAAGCTGCTCAGAGGGCGAGATACCTCACGTTTTGTCTTGCCAATACGGGTCAACGGTTAGTGACGGCAGGATGAGGGTCATGTTCAGGATCTTTGCCAGGACAACCCCGTGACACAGCTGCATATCAGAGCAAGGCGTCAGCATTTCTTGCGGCGCTCACTGGGGCCTAACCGATAAAAGTGCAAAAGAGAAGGTGATTGCAGAACTAAGCCTAAGAGGATTCGCATCCTTTGCAAACAAGAGCTTCCAAAGGGGGGGCGTGGAAGCCACTTACATTGGCAGCCCTGGCAATGGCAAGAAAAAGGGGATGCGCTCCAAGTGGACCTAGCTTCAAAGTAGATTGAAATGGCGGATAGCATACTTGTCAACAATCTACAGCAATTTGAAAGTGCACATTTTGACAACTTCAGCGGCTGAGCAGACCTTGAACTTGTAATCGAGTGATGTGTGACGGGTCAGAAGGGGAGGGACAATTTGAGACGAAGGAAGGTGACATCTGCAGGGATTGTTTTCTGAGAACTCTTCATTGACCATTTCATAGATCGTCTGATCCGACTGCGGATAGACTGCCTATGGATGACTCAACATGTTGGCAATCTGCAGCTGCCAAGGAACACGGAATGAATGCGACGCATTTTTAGATGCAGGAATCATTGGTTATTGACAACGAGGAGCGAAATTTTACCTCCCATGCTTGCTGTCCTAGGCCTCCGTCCAGGTAGAAATATGCAATGCCATTGTTTTGAAAGAGCGGGGACGGCCCTGCAACGCCAACCTTTTGTTCACATCCTCTGCCAAATTGCACTTAACGTGGCCCTAGCAAACAACAGGCCTCAATTTGCTAAGCAGATTGAGGCGTCAGAATAGGTACATCTGGTTTCCAAATGGACGCCCTCTTCATCCAGACCACTTAGGACTGCCAAGGTCCCACCTTGCAAAAATCAAAAAAACGATGAAAAGCGCAGCATTGCCCAGGGCACATAAGCCGACAAACAAACAAACAATCAATTCTGAGCACAAGGAAGAACGCAACGGCAATGATCAGTGGCGCGGCATTGTCAAGGACCCTTGACCAGACTAATAACAATTTCTTGTGACAATAGAATATCATAAACAAGATTGATGATGAACAATCTCTGTAAACTGCCTTCTCATTCCCAGTTGTGAATGTTTCAAGACATAAAAAAAGCCGCCCAAGCATTCCGATTGTTTTGGCAAGTTCGCTCGGAAGCACACCGTTCGCGTCACATCAAAGTGCAAAACAAAGCCAGCAAATTCAGAGTAGATCCAAAGGCATCTTGTGTTGAAGGCGACGCCCCTCACTTGAATCCCCTTCTTTCCTTTTCACGCATGGTTTCCAGCTTGGCCCTCCCTCAGGAGGCAGCCACAGCTCAGGTGCAGTGGTGCTGGCATGAACCGTTGTGCGCAACTGCAACGTGAACGGTATATCCGCCTGCCACCCAAAAATAAGCAGCAGCGAGATCCCAACCACAGCGGCTGTCACCATTCTAGTTCTGTCCGTCATTGCTGGTCCTTGAGGGACGGTGACATTGATGAGTTTCATGGTGGGAGTAGGGGAGAGCAGTCCGGAGGGCGGCCGGGAGGAGGCCATCCCTCTGCAAAGGTCACCTTTGGTGTGTCATATGCTTAGCGATCGTGCGCTTCTTCTTCTTGCAAACTCGAGATTGGTGCTTGCTCCAGATCTCAAACCACCGGATGCAATATCGCCAAAGAAGGAGTATAACTACGCAAGAACCTCAAAGGAGATCAAAACCTGCGTTTCTCTAGGGGCTAGCTGGAGCTTTTGATGAAGCTATGCCCTTCAACTACACAACCTACTAGTCTAGAGCTCAAATAACGATAATGCGGCGCACTTGCAACAAATCGCGACCCAGCCTGCCAACTCTCGAGTCTCGTTGCCCGCCTGGAACGATATTGCAATTTGCAGGCGGGCCCCAGCTCTGTAGCCTCTCTCTGACCACCTCTCTGACTCCCGAGTCTGCGGGGCCGCATCTCGCCCTAGCTAGCTCTTCAAGTTTGCTGTGCACAGTCCAGTGTGCACACTGCACAGTACCGTACTGACTCCTGAGTACTGAGTGCACTGGTGACATCAGAGTCGCCTGCCAAATTCAGTGGGCTCGGCTCAGCATGACGACATTCCCCCGATGAATGGCAAATGTCCAGAATGTCCCCGGGGTACCTCTTCTGACACTATTACATGCTGCTCATATTGCAAGGAGAAAGCGTACACTCATTGGTGTAGAGCACCGTGTGACGGCATTGGGTTCCTCATCGGCCGGGGCAAGCTTTGGGCTTTGGGCCCACGAATCCCGATTGGGATTCTGCTTCTGTGCTTCCGTAAAAGTTGCAGCCAATGAAGAAGCAACATTTGATGCACGTGTCAAGGCTTTGCCATTTTCGCCCGTACAACGTGCTTCCATCGTACACGTGGTCAAGATCTGCGGGTTCCAACTTCCGAGCAGTTCCGGCTGTGCAGATTTTGTTCCGGTTGCCGGATCCCGGATCTCAAACCTCCAACCCCCATATAGCGCTAGGGTGACCGGATCGCGGCCACGGCCGCGTTTCGCTAAAAGCGCGCTGCGCGCGTAAATGTCGAAGCTTCGAGCATGGCATGCATGATGCATTGATGCAGCCTGCACTGCAAGCCACGCCGTCGCCATTGGCATTGCCTTGCGATGGCTGCCGCAGACTTTGAAAACACAAGGAATGCGCCACGAGGAGATCTTTCGTCTCACGAGGAATTGGTCAGAGGCGACAAATTCTTCTCCATTGGTGCATTCTGGTCTGAAGTTTAGGAGGGAGGGACGATATGAGCTACTAACGGGCACCTGACAGAAAACCAGCTCAAAGCAGAGCGGCATGCATCCAACGCAGCCAATGGCGGCTCTTGGGAGCTCTGTCCGCTCCTTGTGGCTGGCCGTGGGGCAATCAGACATGTTTGTCAACAGTTTCTGCCGCCCCGACCAGTTTGACGAGTGGTCCAAGATCAGCAACCAGCTGGCGCGCTTCACGCCCTGCTTCACCGACGTCGTCATTCTGACGTCGGCGCACGTAGTCATGATTGTGATGTGCATTGTCCGCCTGCGACTCCTCAAGTCGCTGCCCCCAAGTAAAAGATACCGGGCCAATTCAAGGCCTGTTCTAGTCGCCCGGGTCCTAGGCGCAGCGTATTGTGCGCTTATCCCCATTCTGCAGCTGGGGGCTCGACTGTCCCTAGCAACGGCCGGAACAGAGCCATTGGCGCCATTTGAGGTGTGTGGCATTGCCTCTGTTACACTGTCATCTTGATGTCCCATTGATCTCGAAACTTCCTTGTGGATATGTTGAGAGATTGGGAAAGTGTTGGCTACAGGCCTGCCTGACCTGATCGAAAAGTTCTTTGACACCAACGGATTGCCTTTAAAGTTGTGGGTCTACTTTGCGTGTTGATTGCTAATTAGTCTCACCCTGAATTGCAATGGCGTGTCAGCAACTGCTGGGGCACTTCGCCCCTCGATGATTATGAAGGACAAGCGGTGGTGTCAGAAGCCCCCATACACATATGTTCTAAAGTGCTTAGTTAAATTGGGCGAGTTATATGCTCCCATCCCCTATAGAAATAGGATCAGCTCTGCAAATTTCACCACCACTGATAGAGCTTAAACCTCCTGGAGAGCTACAGCGTTTGAGTCTGTTAGTGGCAGAGTGGTGGCATTGCTTTGGGATGTATCTAACACTCTTAGTACCCAATGCTGGGCATTCTTTTGAGCAATGTTAGGCAAAGGCATATGCGATGATGTCACGTTGGGCAGGGCAATCCTGTGGTGCCCTTTCATCCATTCTTGGCGCCTCACGAGTGTGGAGCCCTGTGATTTGAGCACCACTAGAATCGCACTTCGACGACTTTTTTTCCAGATTCAAGTTCACTAAGCCAACTTCATTGCACATCATGGTTCGACCTCTGCTTCCCCTTTGAGACCTTACCAAATTTGGGCCCTCTTTGTTCCATTGTTTTGTTTCTGACATGCACACAGAATATATTGAACTTTGTTTCATCCATCAATCAAATTGGACCACCTAACTTAAAACTGATCACGCAGTTGTTGTTTGAACACAGATCTTCGCCCTCATCGCTGCGGCTTTAGCATGGGCTGTCACTTCGCACACGTTCTACATGGAACGGTGCATCTATGTGCGAGAGGGGGCCTGGTACACTCGCCTGGCGGTCCTCTACGTTCTCTCAGGCAACTTGGCTAAGCTGCAATTTGTGTGGCTTCTCATTGGAGAAAACAGCAAGTGAGTGGTGCGCTATCTCAAGATTGAAAGGGTATTAGTTTTCCAATGCTGGGTCATCTGTGGTGGTGCTTAGATTGTGCCTTACCCTGTTTTAAGATTTGAAGCCAATTGAGAGGTGTGCTTCACACAACCTGTGCGCGCATTGTATCGGTCTCAGTATAACAACAATAATCCCCATGGGGCCTCTGACTGTGGCATCCAGGTGCAGTGATCTAACTATTAGTAGAGGGAAGAGAAAAGTTGCTTCGTATCTAAGATTGGGATTATGTTTTACCATGGGTTGGATCTGTTTAGGAGGCTTCAGCTGTCCAAGTGGACTGATATGCTTCAATAAGAACGCGCAAATTTGACATGGCTCATATCTTGACTGACCTTGGGTTAGAAGTATTAGGCCTTAGTTGTTGCCAGCCTCGTGATTTTCGACCCCGACAATCTGCTGCGACCCGTTCCTCCGCTAGCTCCATGTGGCGAAACCCCCATTACACAACTGTGCCAAGACAGATTCCGCTTCATGCTCTAGATCTGCTACAGATCCTCGTCTTCAGATCTCTCGTGCAACCTGGCTCCAGTCGCTCGCTTTTCGGCGTTCATTCACATATCCTCATTCCTTCCTGCTTCTGCTAGTCGATCCAAGAGGAAGGGGTTCACAATAAAAGTCCAAGACTAAGCGCAAGCTGAGCTTCCACTCTCTTACCTGCAGGGTCTTCTTCTACTTCTTCCTAAGCAACGTGGCCGTCAACTCTCTGCTGGGGCTCTTTGCCCTCTTCTGGTTCCCGCCTCTGGAAAAGAGTTTCCAGAGCGACGAGCACCCCGAAGAAGAGGCTGGTACAACTGTAGCAGAGGGAGCGGCGTACATGCCCCTTGCTGACGAGGCCCCCATCGATGCGGACACCAGCGTGTGTCCGGAGCGGAAGGCCAACTTCATCTCCCGTCAGTTGCTTGCCAACACATCCTTCCTTCATGTGTTCCTTACTGTGTGGATTTCCTTCCCGTTTTTCGAATGGTTTCGAGTAGTTTTGAATGGCAGTAGAGAAGCCGTGGGAACAATCACCGCAGCACTGATCAACCAAAATAGTCTGTTTTTGCTTCACAGTTCGCGTCTTGCGTCCCTCTCTGCGACAACTTGCCTTTTATCTGTTGTAGAAGCCCCTCGGCGGTCGTACGTTGCCCCAAACGTGATGAATCTTGATACTTTCGTAATGTATGGGAGCCACTGCTACCAGTAGACCTACTTTTTGGAAGATCGACAGTTGCATCAGACTGAGGCGTCTTGTACCTGGATCCTAAATAGCATTCTCTTGAGAATTCCTGAACGCAATCCAGTCACGCTCCAGGCACTGCGAACCAGCGCAGTGTGAGAGCGGTACTGCCTTGATATAGAAACACTTCGGCGACCCGGTTTAGAAGATCTCCTTCGCAATGCGTTGACGGTTCGAGCTCCGACGCCGTTTTCAGTCAGCAACGCGCTGGCTGGTGACGTAGGCTCACTCTCACGTCACTTTCGGTCCCAGGCCTGTTGTTCTCTTGGATCACGCCCGTAATGGCGGTGGGGTACAAGCGGCCGCTCCAGGATCCGGACGTCTGGCAGCTTGACACGTGGGACCGAACGGACACCATTGCGGACCAGTGAGTAGCATTTGGATGCGGAGATAGAGCTGACGAATTCGGAGTCCTTTGTGTCGAAGCTGTGAAAGCCGTTCGATTTTGCTCAATAGCCGCTTCAACGGGAAGTAGTAGCTTTTTTGGTATGTGAACGGTGTTCACGGCCCGAGTGTCATGCTTATTCTAAGCTTGGGATTCGACTTCGAACTGCGACAGAGGCTATATATGCAGTCGGAGTGATCTCGTGAGAGTTTGCTTGTGTGAAGCTTTGCCAAACTGCACAACGTCGGTAAGGGGTGCAACGAGGACGCATTTTCGGTTGGAACAAGGCAGTCAACGATCACAATCGTGGAGTCAAATATTACGATGTGTATCACGAACGTCTGAACATCCCCAGGCTATCTGATCTGTTTGGTCGCGTCTGCTCGGCACAAAGTCTCCAATCTGCAAGAGAGTCCGTTTGGCAATATAGAGTCCACTTGCACGTCGCAGGTTCAATCGCTGCTGGGAAGCGGAGCTCAAGAGGGGAAAGCCTTCCCTCTTGCGCGCCCTGCACAAGGCCTTTGGAGGCCGCTTCTGGATCGGTGGAATCTACAAGGTAAGTGTCGTCTATGTTATCTTTGTTCGGTGCTCAGGGTCAAGATTAGTCACAGGTTGCAAGGCTCCAACCGATTGTGACTAGGCACTAATGTTCGCAGAAAGGCACATAGAACCGATCTTCGGGTGATTCCCGCGAACGTGGTTTGCACGTGGATTTCTCGGTTCTAAAGAGAGGATATTGAATGGTGAGTTTCAGTCTGACTCAACGTATTCGAGGAAAATCTACAGCCAACTTGAACTGTCACGCGTATCATACCAATCACCCAGCCCGATCAGCAAACGAACAGCATGTGGGGCAAGCTCACGGTTCTGCAATTTTCCTGCAGTCCTAACGAGTCGATGCTCTGACGCCTTTCGCAGATTGGCAACGACGCCTCCCAGTTCGTGGGCCCCGTCTTCCTGAACCTGCTGCTGGCCGCCATGCAAAACGGCGAGCCGTCCTGGAAGGGGTACCTCTACGGGGTCTCCATCTTCGTGGGCCTGGTCAGTTTCTGCTCGATGCTGTTTTAGTATCTCGGCAATGGCCTTCCTGATTCTTGCAGAAAGACTGATGCTACGTACGTCCCGCTGCGCTTACTCGGTAAATAGTGGTGGCGGGTGCAAGGTTCAGGAGGTGCGGCTGCCGTGCTGCGCGCATTCCAATTCGGAGCACAGTCCTTATATCTCAATCGGTTCACATCTTTCATAATGCCAACAAAAGGGCCTCATCATTCTGCTCTGCGGAAAGGAAAGGATCAGTATTAGAATTCTGGAGAGCGCTCTTCATTTAGCTTTCGATGAGAGATTGTTCTCTAAGAAGCGTAACCGAAACGCCGTGGTCAATCTCAGAGCTTGACATGAGAAGTACAAATTGGGCCTTTGATCTTGAAACGTTTCCTTCTTTCTTTCAACGTTACCTCGTTCGATTGACCTTTTTGGGTGCAAACGCCCAACACAAGCTCTTAGGCATGTCGGCCCCCATGCATTGCTGTACTCATATCCGTTAATGACTTCGGTTCCTTTCTTTCGAGGTTCGAAACCGTTCTCTAACGTCCAAGACTCAGGAGCCCTCGCCGTCCCTTCTGCAGATGCTGGGTGTTCTTTGCGAAGGCCAATACTTCCAGAACGTAATGCGCGTTGGATTCCGTCTCCGAACCGCCATCGTAAGCATTTTTGCTCTTCACGTTTTCGTCTTCCATATGGAAGGGGAGGACACGTTGTGACTCCTGATTGTTGTAGACTTGGGGATCAGGATGAAGGCAGGGAATCCATGCAGGGCCATCCCAAACTGCTTTAGCATCGCTGAGCGCATCTTTCCCGTTTCGTGCATCCCCTTGACTTTCTACCTCGCTTCCAAACGCTCCCTTGCATGCACAACAGTGGGCCTGCAGCCATCCAAGCACTGTCGCTCTTCTCCACCCGTAAGCTTACTCCAAAATTCTGCGGGTCGGTCGCCTGAACCTTCCCACTCCGAGCCGCGCAGATTGCGGCGGTCTTCCGCAAGTCGCTCCACCTGAGCTTCCGCGGGCGCCAGTCGTTCAGCGCAGGTCGCATCACCAACATGATGACCAGCGATGCGGAGGCACTTCAAGTGAGCAGCTTTTGAAGGGTGTCCGTTTTCTGCTGTTGCACGCTGCCTGGAAGCAGAGTGAAATGTTCGAGCGACTAGTTGGAAGTTGCTGGCTGCAACTGCGGCGTTGCTTTTCAAGGTTTCGTTGTCAAGTTTGTGGGACGGATCTTAAGTCACGTGGTGCCCAGGAAGTTTGGCTTCTTTGGTAGGTCTGTCGAGACAATCTGTTGTCGTGTCCAAGGGGTCAAAACCTCCCTTCTTTGCTAATTCTTTCTATTGGGACTGTTGACAGCCAACTTTCGTGCCGTACGTGCGCATCAAGAATGTCGAAAGCACCTGCCCTCCTTTTCTGTCCTCTTCCTTAACCCATCAAAACTCATCGCCGCCCTTAAAGCTATTACCCATTCTTGAACCGGAAGCCTCTCCTTCTCTGTACAGCAAGTCCTCCAAAGCCTGCACAACCTGTGGTCCGCGCCGGTGCGCATCATCATCGCGTGCGTGCTACTCTACGGGGCTCTGGGGATCGCGTCCATCGTCAGCCTGCTCGTGCTGCTGCTCATGATCCCGACACAGGTCAGTGCGTTGGACGAGCATTCGGTATATTAGGCCGTGAGGTGGAAAACGCGCCACTTTGAGGATTGTTCAAAAGCCGGCCGCGGAGAAACTTCTTCCGGTGGGGAAGAGTCAAGTCAGGATCACCCACTCTCGATGATGATTGTGCAGTGTGTTTGACTCAAATGCTCTGTCGACAGATCCACTTTTCTTGGCCGTTAAGCTCAAATATCCCTTCTGCCCCCGGCATAGCCGTTAGTGACTGAACGCCTGTGCCACGGGGAGAAGTGCGAAAAACACCTCTCTTCGGAAAAGCTAGCCTATAGAGCAAACTCTTTCATTTTCATCGGAAGACTTTGAGTTGCCTACCCTGTTTATCTCCTTCCTCTTGGGTCCGGATTTTGAGGTTGCCTGGCAGTGCCCATCTGCCACTAGTCCTCTTGTTCGATTCATATTACTAAGCCAGTGCTGACGTCATTCTCTCCGTGCAGGCAATCGTTGTGACGACTGTGCAGCGGTTGGTGAAGCAAACGCTGCAGCGCACTGACAAGCGCGTGGACCTAATCCAAGAGCTGCTGGCCGCCATGGACATTGTCAAGTGAGGCGCGCTCCCCGCAATCCGTGCGCATATATCCGGCGGAAATTTGTTCAAGCGCATTCTGATGAGACGTACTTTTCGCATCCCAGCTGCTACTTGAAAGACAGAAGAGAGCCGGTAGAAGAGGATATTGAAACCGAGACGAAGTTCTTAGAACATCTGGAACGCAATGTTTGTAGCAGCTCGACCTGCAGACGTGCCTCGTCCGTTGCAGAGAGCTTGTAGTTTTTGGTCAATGGAGCTACACAGCGTACTGTATGGCGCCCGTCTAGGCGTTACTCCGAAGGCTGTCAGCCAATTTGAGATACGCCCTGCCAGCACTTGTTCTCGGCCTCTTCGTAGAGCTGCTTTTGGATTATTTCTGTGTACTAGGATTCCGACGAAAGAGGTACAAGTTGTTCAAGTACATACCGCCCACTTTCCCAAGCGAATATGATGCTCTTTGCTTTTGGCGCTGTCGTTCTTGGTTTGACTGTGGGCGTTCTGCGTCTCTACACAGGTTCTACGCTTGGGAGCACAGCTTTGAGAAGAAGGTCGAGAACATCCGGGAGGAGGAGCTCAGCTGGCTGCGCAAGTCGGCCGTCGTATCGGCCGTAAGTCTTTCACACGGTCCTGTTGAAAATTTACCTTTTGCTCGCCCTTGAGTCACTGATCAGCAGAGAACTTTGATGCTCGAAGAGGTGTTCTGCAAAGAATTCTGGACGAGCACGAGAAATCGATTCTGCAAACTTGCCACGTAGCATTTTTGACAGCCCGAAGCTTTCGATTGAGGTGCCGCCTGTGAGCAATCTAGCAAAGCAGATTTAGCACGCCCTCATTCTCTCAACAATCATCTTGCCTGCATATCATCTCAACACGTGTGTGCTGGCTCTCGTCCCCCATCGGGGGTGGTCTCAGCGTACTGAAAACGGGAAATATCTGAAACCCTTTATCTTTACTCGTGCAGTTCAACATGTTCTTGCTGAACGTGGTCCCCGTCCTGGTGTCAGTCGTGGCCTTCAGCGTGTACGCGTGGCTCGGCAACGAGCTGACCCCCGCCAAGGCCTTCAGCTCCATCGCGCTCTTCAACGTTCTCCGGTTCCCGCTCTACACCTTCCCGCAGCTCATCTCGCAGGTAGGGGCCTTATTTTCAAGGGTCTCACACTTGGCAAGGTTTTTGCGAGATTGGCGACTCGGAAACCTTGCAGCGGATCTTCGAGATTTTGTTCTCAAATCTTACTGCGAGCGTTTCTAAATCCTTCCCTCGCCGACTGCTGTTTCAGGACATGCGGGTTGCCGATCGTGAGAAGGCTCATATCTGGGAGGCCCCCGAAGCGATTACCCGGACGCAAGCCCGCCCTCTATCAGTACTGCCTGCTGAGAGAAACCTATCCATTTCCACATCGCGATTATTTGGTGCGCATACCCACTGGAAAATGGGGATGTAATTGAGTGCGGTCTTTCCGTTCAGGTCATCAATGCGATGGTGTCCGTGCGCCGGCTGGAGGACCTGCTGATTGCGGAGGAGCGCCAGCTAGAGGCCAACCCGCCCACAGACCCCACGAAGCCGGCCATCGTGGTCAAGGACACGGACTTCGCGTGGGACCCTAAGGTAAACAACTTCAGCCTTGGAGATCAATTGACTGGAGAACGGAGCGCCCAGAAGCATCGTGTCGATTGTCCAGCGTTGAGGACAATCCCAGTCTCTTCCGGTGGATCAAAATGTGTGTATTAATGCGAACTGGCGCTGGAAAACCCGAGACACATATCTAAGATCGAACCACTTGCTTTAAGAGGATTGTGTGTCGAACTTCTCGAGACGCATTGTCCAATCGTAAGGCCTAATATTGACTGGCAGGCTAGACGGTGCCGTCTCCGCACTCTGCACACTGTTGTCGAGGATGAAAAGGTTCTTCATCCTCTTCTTGATCTCCGCTTTGTAGTGGGATAGTAGGACACTGAAATGGCTCTACGGGTCAAGCAGTTGCTGATCCGTTGCGCACAGCAGTCGTTGCTGATCTTTAGATCCTTGATATTGGTAAAAGGTTTAGCGTCAGCTTGAAACAACCTTTCAAAATCGTCAAAAGTATTTAAGGGCTTTGCTTTGATTCACACCCCCTCCTCAATCCCTTACTCCGCAGACTCACGAGCCGACCCTACACAGCGTCAGCCTCGAGATCCCCGCGGGATCCCTCACGGCCATCGTGGGCGGCACTGGGCAGGGCAAATCGTCGCTGGTCGCGGCACTCCTCGGAGAGATGCCCACTATGGAGAGCGGCGCGCTAGAGGACCACATGAACGGGCGCATGGCTTACGTCCCGCAGTCGTCATGGATCTTCAACGCGACCGTGAGTGGGCTCTTTGTGCCGATGTGCAATCCTGGTTGCCGCGAGCTTCAGCTACAGGTCGATTGTCGATCTGCCACCCCAGGTTGTGGTCTGCAAATCTGAACCTTTGGATGTTAGTCCAATGTCACTTGTATGGTTCAAGATTGGGAACCTGCTTCGAGCGTCTGTAAACGCGATGGCGAGTTTTGAGGCAAACAGCTGTGACCTCGGGATTGTCGAGTAGCAAAAGCTATCGAAACCTCGAGCTTTTGGCTAACTGTTTCGCTTACGAGACGTGTGCTTGGTCCTAACTCCGGTCTCAGTCTGCAAAACTTTGATTTAGCAGCTGGAGTGACGGATGCTGAACTCAGCCGGTCGTCAGCAGAAGCTGCTGTGGCCCATGAACCACGATCTTCTGCTATACATGTTCACTGGCTCCCTTTCTTGTTATCAAGACTCAACCACTTCGATCTCGTGTCAACTTGAGGCTCTCCATTTATCATGGATGCCTTTGTTTCCTGGACTGTAGTTCCAACACCGTTACCCACAACTACGTTTTTACCGTTCCTCAAAATTGGCAACTTTTTTCTGACCCGCGGAGTACTTCCTGTGGTGCAGATTCGCGACAACATCCTGTTTGGACTGCCCTACAACAGGAGTCGGTACGAGGAGGCGCTCCGTGTCAGTCAGCTGGTCAGAGACTTAGAGCTTCTACCGGTAGGTCGTCACACCGGGCTCGCTCAGATTGCTGGCTGCATGAACATTTGTATTGTCTTTGAGAGCAAGTTACTTGTATACATTGCTGGGAGCGATCCCAACGATTGGATTCATAGCAGCAGACATCGAGTCCCTTAGGTTCGCATGCTGCAGCGTTGTACTCTGAACGAAGCTGCTGCTGAGATTGTTCGTTCTTCGAACGGTATCTTGCTTGCATTTTGCAGTCAATTCTCCACTCGAAATTTATGCTGAAATTACTCTCACAAGCATTTGCAACACCACGGTGTGACGCTTCTAACGTCCTGTGAAATGTGCACTGCCATGACTGACACGTTAAAATGGCATGCACGCTCATAAGCCGCCTTTGTCTGCTAATTCGCAGGGAGGCGACCTGACGGAGATCGGGGAACGGGGCGTAAACGTCAGCGGCGGCCAAAAGCAGCGGATCTCCATCGCACGAGCTGTGTACGCAGATGCTGACGTGTATTTCTTTGACGACCCGCTCAGTGCGCTGGATGCGCACGTGGGCAAGCAGGTGAAGAGCCGATGTCGCTTGCCCCAAACCTCGTACTGAGGGGAAGGATAAAGCTTCGAAACAGTTGCGAAAGCGATTGCATTCTTTAACGTATGCCTGCCTGTCGTAGAGCGAATCGTCGATCCAATCATGCTTCGAACCTGTCTTGGGGACTGCTGATGCGAACGGCTGGCGGGATATACGCTCTTGAGAGCAATCTCTGACCTTGGAACTCCGCAATCGCAGTTTGGATATCCAGCACAGTCCATCAGAGCCCAACCAAAAGAGTACAGATACAAAGATCTTGAGCACTTTTACCGCATTCACCCAGGTGTTTGACGAGTGCATCCGCGGCGCGCTTGATGGCCGGACCCGTGTGATGGTCACCAATCAGCTGCACTTTTTGAGACACGTGGACAATGTGCTGCTCATCAAAGACGGGACGATTGTTGAGAGGGGCACCTTCGACGAGTTGAAGGCGAACGGGAAGGAGTTCCAACACTTGCTGGAGCAGGCGGGTGAGGGGTTAAAACTCGTTTATGCTGATGCTTCTGAGTGTAGAGGTCAGGGTTCTGCTGAGGAGTTTTGTGGGGATCGTCTGGAATATGCTGGAAATATTCAAGAATACAGATCCTCGTTATCAAAGAAGCAGACACTTACAAAAGTTTGTTCACGGGTTGAACAGAAAGTTGAGGATTGGTCTAGGATCCTTCTCGACCCATTGAAACGCCTGATCTTCTTTGAAAAGCGGACCCGGAGATTGAGCAAAATTCGGACCTTAAGAATCGCGCAATACTTCCGGCATGTCATCGGTATGAAGAATGTAAGCCGCTACCTCATGACCTCTCCTATTGCAGTACAAATACAGCTTCAAGCGGCATTTGCAGGTAGCATGGAGGAGGAAGACGAGGAGACGGACCCCAAGAAGAAGGCCGCCGGCAAGGTGGCAGGCGAGAAGGCGGTGGGTGCGGTAGTCGCGCAGTCGGACGCGAAACAGGCGAAGACCGAGGATGGGAAGCCGGAGGCGGGAGGGACGCACCTCATCAAGGAGGAGGAGCGCGCCACCGGCCTCGTGCGGGCTGACGTCATCTGGAGGTACAGCAGAGGTCAACTTAAGATCGGCGGCTTCAGCTGGTCGGCGTCCGCAATTGGGATGTTTACTGTGATTTGAAGCCCAAAGTCTTGTCAGAACCGGTGGATAAAGAATAACTCGCGACGATTCTTTGGGAGTCCCTTGCCTGTAAACCTTGCAAGCGATGTTCCGAAATGGTTCGGGATGGCACGTCCAGCCGTTGGTAACAGGGGGTGATAGCAACGGGGGTCCTTTAGGAGGTTTTCGTTGGGAGTCCGTGTCCTCTATCCACGGGTCCGAGACCATAATTGCCCCGTAAGCGTAGGTTTAGCGACTACGTTCTTTCACGATTCGACGCAATTCAGATTGCCAAAACGAATTGCCGGTTTCCATTCGTCAAGCAAGCTCGTCCTGAACCATTACGTATCCGCTGCCCTCTAACGAGGAGAAGTCTCGCAGGCGAATTAATGTCAGCATCCGAGCTGAGCTGATTTCGCCGCAGGTACGTGGCGGCTATGGGCGGGACGTCGATGCTGGTCCTGCTGTTGGCCTTCTTCATCGTGGTCGAGATTGCGCGCGTCGGCGCCAGCCTGTGGCTCAGCGTCTGGTCCGGGGCAGGGAGGCACCCGCCCCACTCCGTCGCGTATTACATTGGCATTTATGCCGGGATCTCGTCGGGGCAGGTAGGTTAATAGCTTTTGTTTTGGGACTTTGCGGCGCTTCGAGCTCATTCTTTTAGGCAAGAGACTCTCGGCTCTGAGGGAATTTTCAGAATGGAGGTCAATGTTCCCGACGCGTGCCCTCTGCGCTGGCATCATATCGGACTAGCTGTGTCTTGGTACCGTCCAGATTCGGGAAGCAAGAATTAAAGCCTAAGCTTGAAACCGCCCGAACTTCTTTGAGCCTTTCTTTCTCTTGAATGCTGCTCATAATCCTCACCAGCAGTACCCGGTGTTTCGAAAACAAAATCGCATGCCCGTTGCACGATGCGCTCCCACTGAACCCTCGAGTCAACCCCTAAAATGATTGCGAAACCCTGGCATTCTGGCTCTGGACATTGCGTTGCAGTGCTGACTCTTCCCTTTCTTCAGGCAAATTTGAGACCTGCGAATCGCGTTATCACTGAGCTCTGGTTCCTCTTTCTTGGTCAATGTTGTTAGAAAGCTTTCGAAAAAGGCCACGCTTTCGTGTCGATCAAGCTCGCTCTGGTCAAACTCAACCCGGATTTCGTTCCTCATAGATGCTGCTGACGCTGGCCAACCAGCTGTTCCTGGCCCTCATCGGCATCATCGCCGCGCGCGCTCTCCACAACGCAATGCTGCACACCGTCCTGCGCGCCCCCATGGTGTTTTTCCAGAGCACTCCCCTGGGGCGCCTCATCAACCGGTTCACGAAAGACATTGCTGACGTGGACAAGAACCTGATCCAGTACACGGCGATGTTCCTGCGCGGCTTCTTCCAGCTCTTCTCCACGTTTGCGCTCATCGCGTTTCTGACGCCTTTCGCGCTGACGGTCATCACGCCGCTGCTCTTCGCGTTCTACATGCTCTACCTCTACTTCCAGGTGGGTTTCGATACGTTTTGGAACAGGATGAGGGCGAGATCTGACATCCCGGGTTTTCTGGCGGGCTGCTTGCAAACTGGCCGAACCTTGCGACCGTTTTAAGCGCAGCGGTTTTTGGAGAAGCTGACTGCCGTTTGGATATTTAGTCGAGGACCTGGCTGGCTTTCGTATCGTGTTTTTCTACATCCAAGAGGACTCTAGAGGGGCTCCTCGTTGAATCCTATATCCGTTCCCGGACTGGTGTTTCTCTCCTTCGCAGAGCACTGCCCGAGAAGTCAAGCGCCTGGACTCTATCACACGTTCCCCGGTCTACGCCCAGTTCGGCGAGGCCCTTTCCGGCCTGCCCACGATCCGCGCTTACCGCGCGCACGACCGCCTCGCAGCGATCAACGGCCGTGCCGTCGACCTAAACACACGCTACACGCTCGTCAACATGAGCGCCAACCGCTGGCTCTCGATCCGGCTCGAGTTCCTCGGCGG